AAAATATCCGTGGAAGTATTTAGGGCGAAACTGGACAGTCCCAATCTACATACGCAAGTCTGAAAAAGGTCGTTACTCTAAGAATATCGATCTTCATACGCCGATTCAAGTATTAAAAATGCAAAACCCCCGCGACCCCCCCCCCTCCCCGGCCCCTCGGCCCGCGAGCAGTAGTTTGTCTGAATAATAAATCGAGGAGTTTCATTCAACTTTGCGTCAATAAAACTGCCACTCCTCTTTATCATCTTAGATGAAGGGCCGCCTTATTTGGACGTATTCATGCTGAAAGGAACTATGTGCATAGGGCTTGCGTGAGACATACGTCCTTTTGGCAAAAATACGTCAATTTGTCGAATCAAATAGAATGCCTACCGCGAATGCTTGCATTGGCCTAAAAGAGAATTTCAAATAGCGCCGTAACGAGAAAATCGATGTTAGCTGCGGCTGACTTTGTGCATGAACACTGCCGGGCTAAGAAAGAACGCCGTAGACGTTTTCGTATGCCGCCAAAATTTTAATATAAAATATTTTTATGTGAAAAAAAAAATGTTAAATATTTTCCCTTTTACATTTTTAGATGCGCTGGATCAAATTCGCAGTAAAATTCCTCTGAAAAATTCGTAGAGATAAATTAGGATTTGAGGGGCTTGGAGGACAAGGCACATAAGTGCAAGTTTTGCTATTTTGAGAAATAGATTTTTGAAGTTTTGAAATTATATGGATCCTTATGACTTAGAAAGTTCAATCTAACTTATTGATGCTTAAAAAATGGATTTTGGGAGCGAATTTTTACAGAGTATGCATTAAGACTAATTTTACTTGAAATCATAAATTGATATCTCAAGTTTTTCAAAAACTGCACTTATGCGCCCTGTCCTCCAAGCCCCTCATTTGTAGTTTAAGTCGTCGTTTTTATTCGAAGAGGTTTGGCAATGATCGGGTGTCAGCACGTGGTTTTATAGCTCGGTACGGTAGAAAAGTTCTGTTGTGCTAAGGCAGAACGCCGTAAGAGCCCTCAGATTTTGCCAATTTTCATTTGATAATATGTGAATTTTCAGGGAAATTTGAGAATTTTTCTTCTTCGAATTTTCCGAGAAATTTATTAATGGTCAGATCTAACTTATCCAAAAATTTCAAGAGAATATATTTATACCTCTCTATAAAAATAGGCATTTTATTAGAGGAAACTTGGCAACTCTCAAATGTTCATACGACGTTTTTTCTTAGCACGGTCGAACAGTTCTCGGGGAGGAGCTACCCACCTTGCTGGGTATCAAATTAAGTTTTTATGATAACTGACCCCTTTAGAATTGGGGTCGATTCTCTGTCGCTGTGCCTAGTTGATGATAAGATAACTCCTTCGTTACCCTAGATGTTGATTTTTTTTACAAATGACCGAAATGTAAGAGACAAATCTTGAAACGCTGCTTTAGCTTTGAACCAAAAAAGCGCTCATTATATGAAACTTGTCACAAGAAATCTATAACAGTAGAGTCAGGGGCAGAAAATTGCTCCAAATTTTCATAGGAGTGGAATTCGCCAAAAGTAGAAACGCCGAAGTTATTTTTTTTACAAGCCTTGAGGATCCAAAAAAGGACCTCACCGGGCATGACTTTCTAACTGGGTTTTTTTTAACTCTTTCGCGAATAAAATAATGTTATGTTGGGGTGCGCGCTCAAAAACCTTTCCCTGAAAAGTCCATGAAACGATACTGCTACGTTTGCTGATCTCAGGTAAATATAAATAGAACGGACACAGCCAATATTTCAGAGGGGCGATGTTGTAATACGTTTCAACAATCAAAGTCTTTTACGGGATATTGACAATGTCGCAATAAAAATCAGTCACAGTTTATTTCATCGACAAAATAGGCAACACCGGAACTAAGTTAAAGCGTAAAAGAAACGAGCCAAGTAACCTGTAGTAACTTAGTACTGCGCGCATCGAACACTCGACGAATTTCATTATAACGCCTTAATACAACTATTCGAGCTCCACGGATGTCTGTGTTGCATACTCACGAATATGAAGGCGTTTTTAAACTCTCCACGCACTCACCGCCTTACGCACGGCATGCAGCGCGGTTTGGTGATGGTGGGCTGTGCTGCGAGGGTCCGAAGTAAAAAAGCATTTTCAATTTTCGGCTTATATTCGACTGATCTGCTGAAACAAACTCAACTCAGCCTTAATCCTTGAAAATTTGAAAAACCTAATGCATGACCCGTCTATTAGTCTAATGCCTGAAAAAGAAAACAATCAATGACAAAATACACATATCGACGGTGAAACTACCAAACCACGTATCTCGGTTTGCGACGTCGCAGACTTCCTGTCATACTTTATTTTTTAAATAGAAAACTATTCAACGTCAAGTCGTGAAAACTTCCGTGATTTTTCCTCTTTGAGCGGAGAAAAATCTGTGAAAATTGTAAGGAGTGATATAGATTTGATCTCCTTCAAAAAAATAAAATGTGTGTGGAGATTTTTAAACACCGCAAACGAGATACGTGGTCTGGTAGTTTCACCGTCGATATTTAAAAGTAACCGGCCTAAAATTCCTCGGATACAATCCTCGGTACAAAAATTATGTACATAATTCTCCTTAAATTTTCTTTTATATAGGCATTTGCGCTCTTGTGGTAAGTCTCGACTGCGCTTTTGGGCTAAGCATATCTTTTTTCCGGGATTTGCGCTTTTGGATGCCGTCCAAAAATTGATGATCAAAAAATACAATTCTTACCGTGAAACTCCACTGACCGCTTCTATAAAACCTACGTATTAGAATTTACCGCTTCTTTCTATCATAACAAATTCCTTTTATTTAAATGTTAGCATATTTCTAAAATTTTAAAATAACTTTAATGGTCCACTAAAATATTCGATGGCGGCAGCTGAATTCCAACCAGACGAGAAAAAGACGAAACCAACCTCCAGATTGATGAGTCTGAGCATCCGAAAAAAGCCGAGCTATTTCGTCGCTCCTTCTCACGTAAGGACATATCTCAATTTCCAAGTGAACCCTGTTCTCCGTTTAACTCTATGCTTTCCAGGGCTCATGCGAACATAGAGATACGCCCTTACGTCAGAGCAGTGAGGATTTGGACCATTTCCTTTAGCGTGATGACCGAGAACTGGAGCGAACGACGCACAGTAGATAGAGTCGATTAGAGAGATCGGACATGAAATTTTTGAGTAAAAATGCAAATTTTGATGTTTATTTCTTCACATTTTAAATTTCAATGGGTGTTTCTCGCAGAAAATTTAACGAGGAAACCAAAGGAACCATTTTCAGAACCTCTATGTTTTGTAAAAACGGAGTTATGAGCGTTTAAAGTTTCCAAATTTTTCCCGACCTTGCCCTATTGACTCGATCCACTGTGCGACGCGGCTCCTGGGCAGTGAGTCAAGGTCGGGAGGGATGTAAATTTTGCGTCCGCAGAGCTGGAATTCACTTGTAAAGATTCTTGATGGGTTTTTAATTTAATTTAATTCCTCTGTTGAGTCGCGACGCTTGTTTTTCTTCAAGCTTGCACATTTCACGTAAATCGAATAACCTAGTTATCGACTCGGTCGTTTAGCGTTTTAATTCATCTGCTAATGAGAGACGATCACGTTGATTTTACAGATGTCTTTCGTTGTCCGCCGACATATAATCCGTTGAAAGATCGTTTAATGAATCGAAACGTTTGACATAAAAACCAGTTTGTTTGACGGATGAGTCATTTTAGAAAGAGGGGGAGGGAGAGAGAAGGGGCCATATGATAACGATATTAACCTGGGACATATCGCTCGCCCTTTTTCCTCAGTCTCCCTCAAAAAATTTCACCCCCTTCTGCCGTGTTAAGGAAAAACCCCGAAGAACCGTCATGCGTTGCCAAATTGCCTTTGACAATAAGCAGATTTATTCGGAAAGTTGTAAATTTTTTTCTTTTAGTTTTTCAGGCAATTTTGTTCGCAATTCAATCTAAAATATCTGAAAATTTCATGGAGAAATATGCATGACTGTCCTCTAAAATAGATTATTTATCAGGAGAATTTTGGCAACCTTCAAATGTTCATAACGAGGTTTTCCCTTAGCACGGCAGCCTTGAAACGAACTTTTCCGAAATTATTTGAAGAAAAATGCCCCACAAAGAAATTATATTCTCGCTAAGGAGGAGTCATGCCCACCCTTTAACTCCAACTGAACCGTATTAATCTGGGAAGGATTAAATTATGATACTTGTATCACCAGTGTCCCTAAAAATTCGCATCGATTGAGTACTTTGATTAGTCACATTTATCGAGGTAAATCAAAGGTGTATCAATAAAGTAATGGTTTGACACAGATAAAAAGGAACGTGCGATACATTTTGCTAGAATCCTACCGTGCAGAAAAGTCAAAACGCCTTCAATTTTTTGCGCATGCAACACAGACAACCCTTGAGCTGGAATAATTTGCATCCAGGCGGTGTCATACTTACCATGCGCGCCTTTTGATGCACGCTCGGTAAGATACAATAATATGTCAACACACGTTGTTGTATACTGATACAAGAGGAAAATTTAGAAATAATTGCCAAAATTACCAATTTTAGTGTTTCCTTCACAATCAAGCGAAAATTAGGTACTCTTTAAAAGCATGCAACCGATTTTATTTATAAACGCATCAAAGTTTCAAACGCGCTCAAAACTTCAAAATCACTTAAGGTCAGCAACCTAATATAGGTACATACGTGGTTAATAATTCGCGATAAACCTTATTGATCCGTTTACAATGCACTCTGTACCTGATATGAACCAACCAATATAACTTGAGCACATTCCGGATTGGCACCTTACTCCTGCGGATTAAATTCATCGATTTTCTTTATCTAGGTGAGTCAAGTATGCAAATGTTAGGCATTCGAGGCTACTGAACCGGATAATTTAATGAAAAGTAGAGCCTAGCCCTTTGGCAGGTGTCGACTCGCGTCACTTCCAAGCTGATGTAATAACAACAATTCAATTTTTTGTTGCAGAAAAATGGCTCCCTTACAACAAATCACCATTGCCGTGGCTGTGATACTGTGTTTATCTCAAGTTTCTCTCGCACAAAAAGTAAGTCATTTGTTTTTTGCTCATATGAAGCTGACGATCACTCTGTATTTTAGGGGGAAAAATGTCCCTTTTTCTTTTAAAATCTAGAAAAGTATACATTATGGTTACTTAAATTTTTATTAACCCAGTGAATTCTCATTGCGAGAGAAGATTTTACTACTCCTTTTGCCCAAAAAAATAAGATATTCCTAAAAAGGATATAGCTGTAAAGCTTATCGAATTGAGTCATTTCTAACGCACGCGCCACCTAATGCTCCACTGTAGACCATCGGTCACTCAATATTTCACTAAATTATTGAAAATTTGTACAAACTGGAAAATATCTTCATAAAAGGAAATATAAAGGCGAAAATCTTTTTTTTTTCCTTTGAGCCTAAAATTTTCAAAATTATCAAGACGAATCAAAAATTTCAATAACCTCCCCCTCCCCCTCTCAAAAGTTTGTGGGACAGCTGAGTGATGCAAATTACTAAGTGAAAATTCAGAAATATTGTTAAAGACTTTTGATACTAGATTATTCTGTAAAAACCAGAAAATATTTTGTAATATTCTTAGTTTTGAGCCTTTTTAGTCCCCTTGCAAATTTCCAAAATTTGCGCCCCAAGTTTTTTTATCAATTTTTACATGATAAGACGTAGCAAATAACGTCATTATAATTATTGCATGAAGCTTAGTATTCTGATGTCCCTAATAACGATTCACTCATTCTCCTCCGCAGGGAAAGAAAGCTGTAGCTGTAATCAAAACCGATATCGTATCTGGAGTTATCAAATTTAGTCAAGAAAATGCCACAGCGCCAGTTTTCATCACAGGCCAAATAGAAGGTTTGAGCAAAGGTAACCACGGATTCCATATCCACGAGAAAGGAGACACAAGTGGAGGATGTGGAACCACTGGCAGTCATTACAACCCTCACAAGGTAAGTTTAAAGGATACTGTCTAGTTAAATCTACAGTCTCCATCAAAGTCTTCCACTTCTTTATAAAATAAAAATTTTAATTTAAGCAACGAGGCAAAATTATGTGCGCGCTCCAAGTGAACGGTAAAAATTAACGACTACTTTCATGCCAAAGGAACACAAAACAACGCTTAGGTGAGACACTGCGTATGGTAACATCGAAAATAGGGTTTGAATTACGGTATGAAAATATGAACATGACAAGGATAACTAATTCATGATTTGAGCAATAATTCGACAATAGTATAAATCAATTTTTGGACTTCAAAGGCCTTCTCACTTGTCAAATTCTGATAAAATTTTGCAATTTTTCACCAGAATGTAATAGAATGGTGCCTGCAGTGTTCGCCAAAAAATCCTATAACAAACGTCTAATCCGACCGTAATTAAAACTGGATGTCGCCTAGAGATAACAAGACCCGGTCACAAAATGCTCCTTCAAAGTTCTTCAAAGATTTTGAGCGATAACTATTTAGGCACTGTTGTCGTGGGGTTGCATATTCGTAGTTTTGAAGGCACTTTTAGCGCTTCACGTGTTTACCCTGATCAGACTATAATACTCCATGTTTTGACGAAACTTGGCAATGAACTTCTCGGCACTAGAATACAGCGCCATATCTTGCTGAAAAATTGATACGATGAGAAGTCACGCACCTTTTAACGCCCTTGCGAAGCGACCCTTTATCGGTTCAGATCTTAATCTGTGCCAAAAAAAAGTCGGGTGATTTCCTCAGCAGTGAGAAATGGGCAGGAAATAGTATCAGTCTAGTACGTTATTCAAAGGTCCATGGTTCCACTTTCAGTTCTTTAATTTATGATCAGTGCCTGTTTCTAATTTTGCGCGCCCGGAAATCAATTTTGCTCCAATCTTTGCGCTTTCCCTTTCATTCCACAATATTTGTGCAGTTTTCTGTGCTGTCATTTCTTTAAGCATACTTTTCTTTTGAAGCATACTTTTAGTAACTGCTGTTGAAATTCGTCGCGGTAGTGAATTACTCCACATTAGTTTCATCTGTGTGCAAATATTATAATCATTTATTAGTTTATAGCTAAGGAACAATCTGCAAACTGGACAAACTTCGCCATTTTCGTAATTTTGAGGTTGGATTTGCATTTTGTTTTCTTCATACATTACAACGTCATTGAAGCGCTCTCCGACAAAATTTGAAACAATTAAAATCATCAGCTTCCTTATTATATACTGCAGAATGCGGCGAATTTCCTAATTCATATTTGCCAAAACGGTCAATTTGGCGGTAATGTTCCTTAGTCCTCGATATGTTGAATCAATATAAGTAAAAGTTTTCACCTACACTGAAAAATCTGGCCAAGGAAGCCGTACTTACGGGCTATATAGACCGACCATCCGCGTTCCGGGCTCAGAGGCCGAAAGTTCCGGGCTTGGAGCCCGGAGCAGTTGAAGTTACGGCTTCAACACCCGGAACTTTCGCCTTCTGAGCCCGGAACGGACGGTATGTCTACATAGCCCGTATCTTTTTTTCTACTGTGTCACCATGGGGATGGTCGCAGGGTGCTCTGTGGAGTCGTTGCATGTGTGAGGAATTTGCGATTTGACTGTTGATTCATTTTTAAAAGTTCGCGAGAAACACGATGGTGCCATTGGCTTTCTCTGAAATCAACTCCCAAACTCAAAAAAAGCTGTCAAGTTGAGGCCAAAATGAAGGGGATATCCCACCCTACCCTGAGAGTCCACCTCTACATCAAGACAAACTCTCCATGCAAAGATAGGGAGCAAATACATTAGCAGGGTTGCCGTGTTTTCAGTTTTAGAGTCCCCAAATGAAGTGGCAGCCCTGTCAATGTATCTGCTCCCTATCTTTGCATGGAGAGTTTGTCTTGATGTAGAGGTGGACTCTCAGGGTAGGGTGGGAGATCCCCTCCATTTTGGCCTCAACTTGAGAGCTTTTTTTGAGCTTGGGAGTTGATTTCAGAGAAAACCAGTGGCACCATAGTCTTTCTCGCGAACTTTTACATATGAATCAACAGTCAAATCCCAAATTCCTCACACATTCAACGTCTCCATTGTCCTTGTCTCTGTTTCCATCTCACGCACGACTGACCCATTATTTTCCACACTTGTTCCAGGCGAACCACGGTGGTCCGTCGGACCAGGACCGTCACATCGGGGACCTGGGTAACATCTACGCCGAGCCCAGCGGCGTGGCCCAGATCAACATCGTGGACCCGAAAATCACGCTCGTCGGCAAGTACAGCATCATCGGGCGCGCCGTCGTCGTCCACGCCGACCCGGATGACCTCGGCAGGAGAGGTCACCCCGACTCCAAGACCACCGGACACGCCGGCGGTCGCTTGGGCTGCGGAGTCATCGGAATCGAGTATGAGTAACCCTCCCTCCCTTGCATCCCTGCACCCTGCACCCTAGCATCTCGACCCTCGTAGCCTTGGCCACCTCACCTGAAGTCCCGGATGCACCTGCGGGCTAGACGCGCGTCTTGAGTAGGCCTTCGACCGTGTTCAGCAGTCTTCGTAGCCTATCAGGTTGCAGCTCACCGCCTGTAACTCATCTAGACGCGCGTTTAGCCAACAGGTGTATCTGGCGTTTTAGCGGTTGAAGACTTAGAATGATAACTACCGGAAGGGTAACAGTCGGTCATCTTCGCTCCGATTCTTGAAACGTCCCTTTGACCTTCGGCGCCGAAACGGTGTCCCAAGTCTTGCTCGCTTTTACCCTGCAACGGAAGCACGTCCCTCGCCCCTCTGAGGTAAGGGCGTATCTCAATGTCTATATGAGCCCTGTTTTACATAGAAATCAATACTTTTGGGGGCTCATCCGGAAATCGAGATACGCCCTCACAATAGAGGAGATACGATACTTGATACAAACGATACATGATACAATTTTTCGCGGATATGGTCCCAAGTTTGCCGCAATCACACAATCTTAAAGGAATCGCAAAGGATCGCAATTGTGTGAAACACATAATCTTAAAGGATAGACCGATAGTTACCTACCTGCTTGGTTATTATCCTATGGTGAGGATTAAGTACCTTTATAGGGGGAGCATTGCCATCTCAAATCCTTTTTCTAAGGTTGTCAACCAAAAATTTTCTGATTTAAGTTCTGAACTAAATATGCCAGATACTCTTGCCTATAGAGTTATACTGCCTCTGGGTATAATTCGGATTGGTACTTGAAAGCACTATAAAAAGCATAAAATTAATAAACTATAATCAGGGAACGGTACAGACATGGCAATGCTCTTTCTATAAAGGCACTCTTGTGAAGACTATTTTGGTCTATATTAAACTGTCTTTGTATGAGTCCTTTGACTTTTTTAGTGTCATCATGATAAGCGCAGCGCACGCTTGCTGACCTTATCGTGCCTCTTTTTCATTCTACCCTCCATCCTCATACGTAAACATATTAGATCATATCATATCAAATATCAGATACGTAATCTTAGCATATACTTAAATGTAGTACCTCGTTCAAATGCAGACTAGAGCTAATAACATTGTTGCAAATTAAGATCACTTAATCAGCATCAACGTATTTATATTTGTATCAATTTTTACTTAAATTCAAGGCTATATATCATCCCACCCTAATATCTATGGACGAGGGAATGAAAATGGCATTTTCTAAATCCTTGAATGATGCTATACAATTTTACTCATCAAGTTTCTGGATGTTTGCATCCCGTCTTTAACTTTTCATTTCTTGAGCTTGAATTCTTCAAACTTATCTGCTTGCCTACAAAAACTTTAAGAAGCAATTGATCGCTCCAACTGGTGATTTTTACCTTTTCGTGCTGGTATTGTTCAATTTATAAGCTTTATCAGAGCATTTAAAGTACGCCCTACAATAAAATCACCATTTAGCTTAAAATGTTGGAGATCCATCAAGAGCTTCAAATGCATGGCTGTAAGCTATAATAAAATTTTGCAAGCTTCAGAAATTGTGAGTCATGGGCTCGAAGCTATAATGGCATTAAATCAAAATAAAAAGTACCTGATTTTCTAAGCATGAATCACTACATCTAATTTATTTTAAATTATTTATTTATTTATTTTCCTCTCTTCTATATAAGGCTTCTAGTCTTTCAAACCATGCATTTAAAAACAACTGTATTTTTTAAAGCATCGAACCCGCACTGAATGATTTCCATGACATAATACCCTAGTTCCGCAATCGCAGTGGAAAATGTATCGCTTTATATAAATCTTCAACTCGATTCATTTTCCTCACGCAATCCCATTGTGGTCATGTCTCATCTCATTATGGTCAAATAGAGCTTAAATCATAAAATCCTCCAAAAGTGGCCCATATTACGCATATCAAATTATTAGATGTAAACTTTCATAATGTATTTTGGTAGTTTTAGTTATATTCGTAGTCGTATCATAACTAAACACCTCATACAAATTTTATCCTGTAAAATATTCAATAAAAATGGCTTATCGCAATGGGCATTTTTGACGACATTGTGTTGCGCGCATGTATCTAATACACTGACACAAATCTCGAAATGAAATTCACTTCGACTTTCATTCCGAGGTTCATAGGAATGTAACGTACACATTTAAATTTAGAGATTATACGCTTAAAATTTTAATAAATGTAAGCGCGTCAGATAGACAAGCCGAAGAAATATGATTTTAGATTTTTCTTATTTGTTTACTGTGAGGATCTTACCTCAATAAATATGCGTACCAACGCCCAAAACCTCAACCTATCTCTCGCTCTTACCTTGACGAGAACCTTGCGACTGCGAAAGTCCTAGAGAGATACCATCTGTGGCGTAATTAACGCTGCTTATACACATGCAAATATAGTCCGCCCAGCGGCCTTTGCCAAAGGCCTAAATCACCCTCCGCGTTTGTAAACGAATCGTCGCACAGTGGACCGAATCAATGGGAGAGATCGGACACGAATTTTTTTTTACCAAAATTGCAAATTTAGATGTTTACTTCATCAAATTTTAAATTTTGAGGGGTGATTCGTGAAGAAAATTTTACGAGACAACCAATGTGGCCATTTTTAAGACCTCAAAATTTTGTAAAAACGGAGTTATGAGCCTTTAAAGTTCCCGAATTTTGTCCGAACTCTCCTATTGACACGATCCGCTGTGCGTCGGTCAAATTGTTAGCGTCTGACGCATTTCTTTTGTGGGGATTATTTAATTACTCTCCCTTCAGCGGTGACCTCGGCGGAACAGCCTTCAGGGGCCAGATTTTCTACGGAGGAGGTGTGTTTTGTCGTCTTAGTGATCAATGGTGGAGGAGGCTCATCGGAAAATATTGGGATCTGTCCTCTCTGGTGACCTTGAGTGACCTTGAGAAAACGGACACCGCGTGAAAACGTCTTATTTTGCGTGGACGGCCGCTTTCCCGGGTTCCTCGCGGTCAGTGGACGAGCGAGGTCAAGTGCCGAGTAGTTGTACTCAATTGGATATTTCACGATGTTTCGGGGGTTTAATCACGGAAAGATGTCTCGTGGTGTCCGGAGAGTTAAATTTATTGGCGATGTATGCATTTCCGGTAAAAATAAAAATCACGCAGAGCTTAATGTCGTTGATTACGTGTCGATGGCTTAAGTCAAAAAATGCGTTTCCCTAGGTATATTTGAATTCTTTTCTGTTCTTTATTTGCTTTTTAAGAAAATTAACAAAAGAAATTCCTTGAAATGTCATGTAAATGTTTTTGAATAAGTGATGAAAATTTACAGAAAATTAAGAGAAAATTACAGAGAATTAAGAGACTTAAAGAGACACTCTCCGTTGGATTTCTTTTTAAGAAATAGTACGTGACGGAGATACGCAGTTTTTGGATTTAACCAATCGGATTGTTCCATTTATGCCCATTGCAAGCCTCAGAGTGTGAAGTATAAACGGTAATGATGTAACTGTATGATGTATTTTTTGGTCACTTTTTTATTTCTCAAATATTTTGTTTTTTATTCGTTATCCATACCGTAGTCAAATTTACACATTTTTCCTTTTCAACTTTAAACTTTGTACAAAATTTGAGTTTCCTGTAAATATACGCACAGTTTTACTTTTTCTAAAATAGCTTTCCTATTTTCTTAATTCCACCAGCAACTTTATACCTGATAGTCCTTCGCATCTTTCTATCAATATTATAACATGCACGGGAAAAAGTTATTTACAACTTGTGGTTAAGAGGATTTCCACTTGATCTCTTGAAAATTGATACCTGAGAGACGCGAAGCGCCTCGAGGGGTTGGATCGCGGAGCAGTCAGGGGGCTCAGCCTTTGGTCAGGAGTTAATTGTTAAAATAAAGTAATTTTCTGCTTGATACAAGCTACTTTTTTCTTAGCATAAGCACATTTCCTTCTTGATTCGAGTGAAATTTCTTCCTGGCGCCAAATTGAAGAATATGTTGCTTAAATTAAGTCACTTTTTTCTAAAATGGCACCGTTGTTTTTTCCGCAGAAATGTATAAGAGGAATCTGCAGTGTCCAAATGCTTACAAAATCACTGGAGTCTTGAAATCTCCGTACATTAATCGCTAAAAGTTACTCACAATATTTTTGATCTCTTCAAAGCTCAAGTAATATAGACCAATTGAAAAGTAATTAGCCAAGAGTGGGGTTTATTTTTATCGCAAGATCGAATTCCAGAGCTTTCGGCCTACTTGAAACTATCTTGCGCCACAAAATTTGGCTCATTTTCCATTACTTCACGAAAGAAGAATCCTAAAATGTATGACAAAATTCAAAAATACCTAAATTTCATATTCTCTGGAAATTGAATTTATAATTTCTGTATCAACAGAGAGCACAAGTACGCACATATGCAAGTGCAACAACATGTGCAAGTAATCTGTTTTCGATATGTTTCATTCAATGAATCTCATAAAGAACTGTTAAAAATTTTCTTTTGACATTACGTATTTTGAACATCAAACCTTGCACCATCGAATGAAAATTCCAATTTGATTAATATTTTAGGCGTTATTCTTCCAAAAAATTTTGCAAAAATACTGTATTTACAGAGGGAATCAAGCAAAAATCAAAATATCAATGTACAGTAGGTATTACCAACAAGCAATAAAACTTATTCCTTCCTCGCCATGCATTTAAGGATGAAATTACAAGATGTTGTTGTTTAGAGACCTCATGAGTTGGAATACCCCAGTACCTATTCGTAGACCCCCTTACATGAAAAACAGGCTCAATACTGTGGTCCTCAGCACCTCAGCACACGTCTTTTTGCCAAAATCTAACGTAGAGTACGATAGAGAAATCAAACATTTTGAAATTCAACGCAAATACTGTGTGAAATTAGCATTCTCAGAGCCAGTGAATTGAACCGCTTGAAAAAAAAAAAAAAAAAAAAAAAAAAAAAAAAAAAAAACCGAAGTCTATTGAGTCAAATTAGGCCTTATTATGTGTGTGAATGCCAACATGCATTGCGGATAGATGTTTTTTTGATTGTTGCGTTTTTCCCAGCAATTTAAGAAGCATCATTCATAAAAAGAGAAACGAGGTTTTTGTGAAATTAAGCTCTACTTAATTGTCAAAGGCTTCATATGACTTGGAACGACCAATTTGACTCACGCTCATTTTGGTTTTTTGGCGGAAGTCTAGAGCAGATTGATTAATAAGACTATAATCGCTAGTTTCTCCCTTACAGATTGTATTTTGACTTTTTCAACATTTTGAATGCATATTCCGTGACATTTAGATCAGAAAAAAATTATATCGAAGTGCTTTAATATATTTTCAATCTGTTATGGATTATATCCGCAGGTCCGTCCTACCTTCATTAAATATAATTATAATATAATTTAGCTTATTGAACAAGTTAAATATTTTCCAAAACTTATGTCTTTCTGTTGCAGACATCCCCCGGACTTCTGGAACAGTAGTTCAACTGCCTCATCGTCCATTCTTCTCATTCTTGCCGCAGTTATAATTTCTGGACTCGCAAATTCACGATAACTTTCGTGCCAAGATCTAATTATAATTTTGTGATACTACCTTTACTTAATTCCTATTTTCTATGTTACCTTTTTTGTCGAACGTCGAGTAACTTTTTCCGGAAATCTATCTACATTCAATGTAAAAGTTATATTTATTTCTGCGCTGCGCAACAGTCGATATGACGCCATTATTTGTCATTACATAACGCCATCGATTCACTGAAACGTTCGATGTAATTTTCATGAGGAAAAATCTTACAGCTTTTCTCAGTTTTGAATTGTAATTCCTATTAACTGATCACTGCCATAACAACAAGGACCAAATACTCACTGTCAGTATTTTGAGACATAGACAATATTTTTCCAACCCAAGCACATTGAACTATATAAAAAAATGATTTTGCATACAATTTTAAGATAGGAAAATTTATTTTTAAAGAAAATTCCATGGATGAACTTTGTACACCTCACAGAGTTTAACTTTTTCCCCTTCTGTAATCTCAACGATTCTGTAATCTCAAAATTTGCCAGGCTTATTTTCACATCTAAAAATGATAATTATTTTTCTATTGCGATATTTCTGACTAAGAGAGTAACTGATAATTCAGCACCTGTACTTAATTCCTCCATTTTAATATGGAGATTGAAAATCGAGTGTTCATGATGTATCACTTTAGTTTTCATCCTAGTAACTATGTGCAATCGGAATCCTATGTCATTAATATTGATGTTTCGTTTAAGTAGCTCGTAAGTATTTATTGAATTATTTATTGATATTTATTTGACCAACTCGTTTTAGTTGATAAATAATTAATTTATTTATCTATTCATTTCTTGATGAAGTTGAAGCTTGTAAGCATACTCAATGGATGTTACCTCAGCTCTTTACCTCATTAAATTCAATTATTTATTTTTCTTATTAAAAGTCTTCTCTTTTTCCGACATGAAATCGCGCCCTGATTTCATCGGAATATAACGAAGGGTTATAGGACATTTTGTCAATGATTTTTTGTCCGCGCCCAAGTTTTTCTTAGTAGTTTACGTCCACGCGTTTTTTTCGGCAGGGGAGTTTTGGTCCACTCACCAATTGAGACCCAAAGTTAATTGGTCTACTTGTAAATACAAACGACGATTGCTCACGACGTTTTCGGTTGAAAATGTATAATGTTTTGAAAGAAGAAGAGTTTGCTTGTTTTTTTTTTTTTGTTTGTTTTTTTTTGTTTTTTTAGGAATCGATAAAGAAAATAATGCTTGCTTAAAGAAGAAAAGATGCTCATATAAAAAGAAAAGTCACTTACATCAAGCAGAAACCCGCTTTCATTCAGCTATTTTATTCTTGATTCAAAATACAGTCTTCTTGACGGCATACTCAATGAATTTTCTGTCTAAATCGAGTCATCATTTTCTCTGATGAAATTAAAAAATCATGCTAAATGTTATTAAATACGGATGCTAGGACTTGGTGAGTTTTTGGAGTATCACTCTCTTTTTGTGTAGTATCTTGATTTAGTATGCGAGGAAAGCTCCGTACCCTTGAATGGTGCCTGACATTCTTAATAAGTTGGAGGGTCCTCAAATTAGTACGATACTGTGCAACACCTCTGTTGCAAAATAGTTGCTTGAAGCGCCGAGGCGGCGCAGCAGGCGAGGGCGACCAGCGCGACACGCGCATTGGCGCCTACAAACCTAACAGGGATACTTCAAGCGTTGCGCAATGCGTGAAGTATCCCTGTTAGAGTTGTAGGCGCCAATGTGCGTGTCGCGCTGGCAGTACACCGCTCTGCTCTGTGTTTAGCTCTAATTTTTAAACTCGCGGAGTCCGCGTTTTTCAACTCATGATTTTGAAATATTTGCACACTCTAAATTAATTATCCTTATTTAAATTGATGGGGTGGGGGGAAAAGTGCGCGTTTCACGCTGCTAACACGCCGCTCCGCTCTGTATTAGGTTCTAATATTTAAACTCGCGGAGTTAGCGTTTTTCAACTCAAATGTTTACACGCTCTGCATGGTTTATTCTCATTTCAATTGATGAAGGAGGGGGACATGTATTAAAGGAAAATAAAATGCGTATTTTGTGAATATTAAGGTGGCTATCCGTGTCGACTTTAGTGATTTCCATGGCACTTTAATTTTTTTTCTTTTATAATTTGTACTTTCACTATGCTGCAGCGTGGTGTACGCGCAAAAGGGTGGTTCTTATTTTTCGACTTTTCGAAAATCAAATTACCGAAATCATTGTCATGTCCTATCCTCGGATTTCCATTCTGATTCGCTACGGGAAAATCCGCATGAAAACTCTAGCCTTGCCAACTTTTCTCCACATCAATACGAATTCCCTTGAAAGCTTCTGAGTTCTGTCTTTTTAAATTTTCAGAGAATTTTCTGTGAAATTGTTCATAATCATCCAAAGGACGCCAATGCGAAAAAACAACTTAACGCTGAGCCCCAACACTTTAGGTAAAATAGCGCCTACTAAAGACAGTAGGACTGAACCCTGAAGCTGCGGGACTCAGCATAACTGCCTTTCGTTTGGCGCTATTTTACCTAAAGTGTTAGGGCTCAGCGCTAAATTGTTTTTTTTTTTTTTTTCCCTGTAGAGCTTGTGCGGGTTATTAGGAATCAACGATACCCTCAACTATGAAAAGGGGAACTATATTTTTGCCATCATGGAAAAGACAGCAGAATGTTCTATATCGACGGTGAAACTACCAAACCACGTATCTCGGTTTGCGACGTCGCAGACTTCCTGTCATACTTTATTTTTTAAATGAAAAACTACTTAACATCCAGTCTTGAAAATTTCTGTGATTTTTCCTCTTTGTGCGAAGAAAATTCCGTGAAAATTTCAAGGAATGATATTGATTTGGTCTACTTCAAAAAAATAAAATGTGAGCGTAGATTTTTAAACACCGCAAACGAGATACGTGGTTTGGAAGTTTCACCGTCGATATGTATCTTTTCCATCGTTCCGTGATTACATCGTTGACAAATAAGAATAAAGATAAAAGGTGGCAGAAAAAGATGCCCTTTTTGCAAACAACAATTGGACGTCACTATCCAGACGGAAAGCGTACCATTTCAAAGTCGCGAAATTTGCACCAGTCAATTGTATTTTTACGAGGGAATTGTTAAGCATCATCAACTAAAAATTTCACTGATTTTTTCTCTGATTACACAAAAAATTCGGCAAAATGTTGAATAGAAATCGCGCGGTCAAGTTGTGAAAAATTGAATCGTTTGAATAAATTCTTTAAACCTTGGAATGGACTTACGCTCTTTCGTCTGTGAAATGATACGATACTGCTGTCTTTCAGGATATTAGGCAAACTTGCAGTTCTCTCTATTAATTCTCTCTCTTTTTTTTAAAAAAAATGAGTTAAATTATTCTCCATTGTAGCGGAATTATTCGGTTATTTAAATTAGACTGACTGAATTTTGAAGAAATTTCTATCTTGAAACTTTGGTCACTGCCACTCTCTTTTAGTATCTCGACGGCGAGCTAATAATTGAAAATGATAGACAAGTGATAGACAAGTGATAGACAAGTGATAGACGAGTGATAGACAAACAAGATAGATTAAAGAACCCAATAGCCATCCTATTGGTGGAAACGGATGTTGCGACGGATAAAGGAGTTAATAGACTAACAGAGAGATCCTGTAAATTTTCTATCATTTCCTACCTTAGTCTAAAATAACCACCCCTTTCAACCAATTGGATCGCTTCATGTTCCCATCGTCATCTTTGTCTATCGAGTTCAATAATCAGCCCGCCGCTTTGAGGACATTGAGCGGCTTTTACACGACACCTACAGAGGGTCCATTAAAAAATCGCAGTCTTGACCTTCCACTATTTTTCAAGTTCACTCTTGAGCATGCAATTTCCATTCAAGACCCGCGACAGTTCCCACAATACCCTACGGTTCGTCAAAGCAATGCCTCGTCTTAGTATGATAAATCGACGATTTTTTTAGTCATCAGGCCCGGGGGCGAGAGTCCAAGAATGCGAGGGATGGCCGGAAGATGTTTACACACTTTGTAACCATGGTTCCCATTGTCGGTGGTGGCTAGTTAGATTGGGTAGGGATTGAACCCCGACTGAACTCGCGGTGTCAACGGACTCACCAAGGGTTTCCGACTCTTCAGAGAGTTTCGGCCCGTAGACTGGTTACTTGGCTCCGGCGCTCTTCCGTCCGGCGGGTTGCGTTGCGGGATCTCTAAGGCGTCGTTTCGCGCGAGACTTCGGACTGAACCTTTACGTGGAATTCATTGCTATCGAGTGATACTTAAAGAATAAACTGTGCATTTTTTAAGGCTTCTTGATACGCTCTTTTGTTTTGAGTGCGTGATTCCGAATACTTAAAAAAATCTCGAAAAAGGGCTATTTTTCATCTCGGCAATTAGTCGACAGTTAGAACTTTTTCGATCACGCCTTTGAATATTAATTTGTGCTTGAAGGAGACTGTTTCTTCGTTGGATTAATCAGTGATATACTCATCTCAGTGAGGAAATCCTCGAAATTGGCAACGTTTTTCGAACAATTCTACAATTGCGTCTACGGAATGTTCTGCGAATCTTAGACAGAACAGCTTGCACATAGAGGTGGAAAAATGTGTTATGATTCAAGACTACGAGGAAGGAAATTCTTTTTATTCTTCCGAGTCGTTCTATTTTTAATAGGTACATGATAAACGCAAACAAAATCAAAAGTTTTACGATTAAAGGCTTATTTGATTTAGGGCCTTTAACCTATCTTGAGAGGAAGTGAAGAATACAGATAATTATACTTTCCACACGGTCGGAATAGATTTACTTTTATTACTTAGTTCCGTATTGACCCTAGGGTCAATTTCATCCTGTTCAAAATTCATCCCGAAAGCCATAATTTCATTTTCATCAAGAAACCAGACCATAGGAGAGAGTCCGGTGATAACCGATCCGATTATAAGGATAATATGGGTGAGGAGGATTGGCTAAACAAGTTATCTGATCAGTTCAGAAGCTGTGGCGACGGCATCGTTAAATATTTGGTCTTTCTGTTCAATTTTCTTTTAGCGGTAAGTTTCATTACTTTTTTGCCTTATATTTTCACATTCCACGCACACATTTTTTGCGGCATTTGTGACGCTTCTTCATAATTTTATGCAATAAGCGCCTTAAAAAAGAAAAAGAAAAAAAAAAAGAAAAAAAATGAAACTCTTGTGGTGCAAACCTATTACACGAACTAAAATAGGACTTCTCATGGAAAGTCTGATGTACTCTGGATGCACTTCAAATAGAATCAGCCTCACTAAATGATTAATTGCCTGATTTCCTCTCACGCTTCATTTATTTTACGGTTACCAAACAATGTGACGCTTTGATACTTTCTGTGAATTCTCCTCGCTTAAAAAGAAAGTACTAAAACAGCTCTACGGCAACATGCGTAAAATAAGGAAATTAGACAACGGGTAATGTAGTTAGCTGATTCTGATTTGTGGTTTAAAAAATGGGTAAAATATATTAATAAGTTAGAAATAAAAAAAAACCTCAAAAATTTCCGACTTTTTTGACGGAAATTGTGAAACGTGGCAACTGAATTGAACACTTTTTTTGGAGCGCAGGCATCGTGGTATAGTCATCTTCCAGCCAAGCTCCATGCGAAGTTTAAAAACTTCCACCGCCATTTTAGTTTTTTATAGAGAAATTTTTTGACGAAGCTGTCCAAAAATTTTAATATATTTTCTTTGAGCTGTCGGTAGAATTCAGTGAAATTTTCAAACAGATTCAACCAAAATTTCCTCTGTAAAAAAATAAAATGACTGCGGAAATTTTCAACTTCGCAAGGCGCATGTGATACTTTGACCGGAAAGTGACGATATACTCTCGTGATTTTTCACGCAGTCCTTCGATGATGAATTGACTAAAAGTATACCTAAAAGGCACTTAAATGTATTTATATGCGCCATTTAACCTTCAGTTCACCGTAAAAAATGCATTCATCCTATGCTACTTGGAATGCAATTTAGGCACCTGCATGCAATCAGCGTGTATAATGTGTTAACTACGCATCATGCATATGTTGACTTATCATCGGATAAAACTAGTATAGAGGTCGTGTTGCAAGGGTTAAAGACGAAGTTAGATTAAGTGTGGAGAGCTATCAACTACGGCACTTGCAGGGACAAAATGGGATGTCAGTTATTATTTCATTGAATAAACCTCGGTGTATGCACGCTTTAGATGAGCATGGTTGCCTGTTTTCTTTTGCGTTTGTCACGTTTACTTTTAATTTTTTGTTCTACTAAAAGTGCTCGCTGATTTTACCTCTAAAACGCGGCAACGTAGCCACACAAATTTATCTTCAAAACAGGACTCCAAAAGTACTTATTGAGTATTAAAAAAAAATCATTGATTAGTGCATATTTAACATCGAACCGTTCAGGGAATTATTGTCAACTGTTAAACAAATTCTCAAAACATTCCAAAAGAAAATTTACAAAAATGCAATACAACTAAGTCTCGTTAAACTTTCAAGTCTTCACTTGAGAGACGGTTTTCTATCTTTTCCAGAAATTTTTTCTTAACCAAAGATCCTGATAACTTTAAGATGAATGATAAAAAATCTTCTCCTAAAAAAAGTGTTTCTCCACATAATGAACTATGAAGCTATTAAAACTTACTGGAATATGACTTTCAGTGCGCGGCATAGTCAAAAATTACATCATCCACAGATTTTGAAACTGTATAGTACTATACATTCATCAAGTAAATATAGGAAAAAATCAGCTACATACAGGCATTTCAAATCCCTGGGCGAGGCTATAAAATGTCTCTCAGAATGTGTTGTTATTGCACAGTCACTCATCATCACAAATCATTCAAAGATGTCTCAAGATCATGCTGGAAGCCTCTTTGCTTCGTCTCGTCCAAAGAACACCTAATTCGTCTTTTACAAATAATTTCTAAAATATTAGGTGATAGCAAATTTTTGCAAGAAAAAACCCATTTTGTGTCTTGACAGTTCATTACTTAAAATTACCCACAGATCTGCGGACTGATACTGGTCATTGCTGGTGCCATCGCTTTGGCTGATCTATGGCCGAGCAGTCACTTCTTAGACACCAAAGTTCTTCTTCCACCCATCATCATTCTTGTAATTGGCATACTCACGTTTTTTGTCGCCTTCCTGGGATGTTGCGGCGTGCTAGCAAGAAGTCATTGTATGCTCACATCCGTAAGTCTGCCTTTTCTAACATTAAGCACAGTGATATAATTAAACTTGAAGAAAAACGTACTTCGATTTCAAAACAAAATAAATGGGGTTTCTTGAGGGGAGGGGAAGTACATATCCCATCAACAGCGCGCGCTGCCATTCAAAGCAGAGGTGTAGTAGATTGATCACAGTGTTTCGTTTTTTAAAAGAAACTACTGAAACGTCTTCAAGCAAAAAAATTAAAAATTAAAGCTCTATTTCTATCGGAGAAAATTTTGCCAAGTCTGAAACCGAGATAGAGCTCTCCCGGGTTTCATCATTAAGCGGCTTGGAGGACAAGGAGCATAAGTGCAGTTTTTGAAAAAAATTGAGGTATTCATGAACTTAACTAAAACTACTTTGAAAGTATATTCTATGAAAAATTCACAACTAAATTCCAACTTTGAAGAATCAAGAAGTGAGTTTAAATTTCCTTTCTGCCATAAAGCTCCGAGTAATTTTGAAACTTAATACACGTATTTCTTCAAATAGCAAATGGGCTTTGTCCTCCAAATTGTCATTCAAACGAACTTTTTTCTTGCAATTTTACATAATTTTAATGTGGTATTAAATCTCAACACATTAAATGTGTAACTGGTTCATAAATTAGCAAAATGTGTTGCTGCTCAACTGTATAATTTGGTTTACTTTGTTACGATTCAGCTTTATGTTTTCTCTGTAGTTTGCTGCGATCCTTCTATCGCTTATCATTATTCAAATTCTCGCCGGAGCGATAGCCATCATAGCAAAAGATGATTTCAGCAACTCGATGAGGAGCGCCTTAAAATACTCGCTAGGCAACTATTCGTTCACCAATCTGGACGGCCAATCTTGGGACGCGGCGCAAAGGAAAGTAAGTACATAATCAACTGAGCTTCCTCTCCAAAGGCAATTATATTGCTCTGCAAAAACTAAGCCATTATAACAAGTCATAAAATTATGTATTCAGTTACCACGGAAAATCATTACTTATATCTATCAGTTCGGCAAAAGTATGCGTAAAATTGGTACCTGCGCCGGATAAAGTAAGGGCCCCTACAAACTGTAACGCAATTACTTCTGAATAAATTTCTATGAGAAATCCCGACACTTTCGACCAGAATAACTTAGTCATGAATTTGATGCGGAGGAAAAATTTCAAAATTCGTCTTCTCTCTGATCGATGTCACTTGCATAGTTCATTTCAGCATAAATACTTCCAGTTGTGTCTTGTACACACATTACAAATCTAATTGACAATTCTTCAAAATGGAAGCACGCATTTTTTCTCAAATTCCAATATGCTACAATTCAAAATTTCCGCCGCCATTTTATTCTTTTTACAGAGAAATTATTCAACGAAGCTGCTCGAAAATTTCACTGAATTTTCTACGTACTGCCGATACAATGTAGTGAAATTTTCAAGTAGATCCAACCAACAATAGAGACTTTGCAGGTGTCTGAAATCCGATGAATGTCGTGTTTAAGTAAAAACTACTGAGTGATCTGAACACGAGAATACTCTTAGTTCATGAATTGAACAATTATTGGAGAATATATGACAAAATGATCTAATCTGCAAAATACATGTGTTAAATGGGAAATGCCGCCAGATGGCGTCACTAGGCAGTGCAATTTCTCACTTTTAAAACTATTTTTATACTATTTACCATATCAGAAAAAAATTATAAAAAATACTATGAAATCAGCTTTTTAAGCACTTTCAGATGAAGCAATAGAAAAATTGCATGCAAATTCAAAATAAATTGGCGGCAGAAATTTTGAGACGTCTCATGGCCCTCAAGGCGCTTGTGATACTTTGGCTGGAAAGTGACGAGATATGCATTTTTGCATAAGCCCCACTTTATAGATAGAACCGTTCTTCTTGATGATATAATGATTGTTATTAAATTAGCATATGTTTATCGTTGTTCTGTTTCAGCTGGAGTGTTGTGGGGTTGACGGTCCGAGAGACTGGGCGCAAGTGTTCACTGAAAACCAAGTTCCGGCTTCTTGTTGTCGAGGGGCGCCTGACAATGTCAACGCCCTTTGTCGCAACACTTTCGACGATCGGATCGTCTACCAAATCGGTTGTTATGCCAAACTACAGCAATCGGTTCGAATCCATTCCAACTGGATCATAGGACTCGGTTTAGGCCTTGTACTCATTGAGGTAAGACACCTCATCTCTCGAACCTTTTCAAATCAAACCCCATAAAATCATTTTGATTATCAAATGAGGCATCGGCTTTGACTTTTTTTACTGTTTACTACGGGTTTTACAGAGGACGCTGTAAGGACTTTCAAGGGATAATCACTATTTATTACCTCAATTTTCCCCTCACTGTCGCCTTTACTTGACCCAATTGGTCAATTTACGTGACCCTACCAAATCGGTTGTTATGCCAATCTGCAGCAATCGGTTCGAATCCATTCCAACTGGATCATAGGACTCGGTTTAAGTCTTGTACTCATTGAGGTAAGACAAAGACACCTAATCTCTCGATAACCCCTTCAACACAGAAAAAATGAAATTGCTGATTTAACAAGTTCGTGGTTCGAAAAAGTGCCAGATATGTTTCAATGTAGATTTTACAATGGGAAAATGCTAATTTATTCACCTCCGTGGTTAAATTAGCTTTCCAATATTGTAAAATGTACATTTGAAACATGTCGGACATATTTTTTAACAATTTAATTGTTGAATCAGCAATCCATTTTCCCCCGAAATCAAAGCAAACCGAATCATGTAATGGGGGCATCGGTGTTGACTTTTTTATTGTTCGCTGCGGGTTTTACAGAGAACTTTGCGAGGACTTCCAAGGGATAATCACGATTTATTACTCCGATTCTCCCGTCTCCCTCACCGTCATTTTTACTTGACCCAATTCTCCACCACTTAGGGCTGCCTCGTGGTGATAAAAAAATATTGGTAAATAATAATTATTTGAATATTTGAATACTTATCTAGCGGGCTTATCTAGAGATTATTTTTTTGCAAACGGCTGCGAAAGCAAGGGATATCAACCCGGTAGATCTTCTTAAGTAATATCTAGGACAAGATATGCATACTTAAAGGCTGTAAAAAGCGGATAGTAGGTAATGAATTTCGAAGTGCTCCCTTTCCTTTAATTGTTTCCTTTTAGCATAAAAAGTGCGCACTAAGAAAATGTCATTACTGATGTCCCCGTTGAAGAACAAAACAAGTTTTGCCTCACAAAGGACGTTTTAAATTTTGATCGCCAGAGGTATATTAAAGATACACCCCGTAAATATAATTCCAATATTAGATGGAACCAGGCTTTCAAGTCCAACGCGGCTAGTGAATTTAAATAACGGTGTATTTAACTACTATACGTAGGAAACCCGGATTTAATTTTTGAAAAGAAGGGTCTCAATTAATTACGCAAATATGCGCACAAGTTGAATATTTAGAGCTTTGAGATACATATGTTCACAGTGTGGATAAGCTAGATCCTGACATAATTCTTATTTTTTCAAAAATTAGCCTTTCATCTAACAGAAAAGGTGTCTTCGACATAAAAATCATAGATCTAAAATATTTCGTGTATTTTATGAAATGAAACAAATTACGCAAAAAATAGCCGTCGAATCTGGTTGTAGGAAAATATTATTTCTTATTCGCTTGCTTTTCTTAAGTTACGTAATGTCATAATGTATGTAGGTATACTATTTGCAAGATATTTACTGAGCATACCTTATTGAGTCTGTTCGTGTAGTAAAAAAAGCCTCCAACTATGACAAAATGAAAGAAATTATTATCTACTCAAAAGAAGCATGTAGGGAAGTTACTGTTGTGATAGACGAACATTCACAATTGCGAATCAATCAACAAGAGGTGGGAACTCGTGTTTCAGCGAACGCTCGCAACCAGTTATTTTATTCACGGAGTAAACGTGGCCTAATAAACATGCATAGTCTTAATAAAAATATGGACAGAAAAATATGTAATAAATGACGATGGATATTTTTATGCTTATCTTCGGTCAGCAGAGCATTTTTAACTCGATTCTTTTAAACGAATACTAATATACACACACAAAGAAAAAAAACTTTGTATAGCAGAAAAAGAAAAAAGTTCGGGCCTCATTAAACATCGGACTTTTTTGGTTCAGGTAACTATAGTTCTCACAGAAACCGAACTTCGGTTTAACTTACCAGAATTCGGTCCCTATTACCGAACAATTTGGATACCTGAACCGATAAAATTCGGTTTGCAATATGAACCCCAATCAGTCCTTATGCGCCCGAACCTTTTTTCTTGAAGTATAGCCCATCAAACACGGAAAAAAAGTTGCAAAAGTAACATCCTGGATGTTAAAAATCTCCGCGACGACTCTGAGCGTTGATATGAATGTTACGGTTGTTAATTCAACGTAGCTATAAGATGTTACTTTAACATCCGAAGCAGGGCCGGATTTGCCTACTTGTCGCCCATGGGCCGCCTGTATTTTTCCACCCCCTTCTCATTCGTTACGTGAACGTGTCGGTGGGAGAGGGGTGTATGAGACGCGTTTAGTCGTGTTGGGTACATTTTTTGTGAAAGCCCCGTCAACACTAACAAAAGTTCACGGAACTTTACGCGAAAGTTAAGTTCCGTAAACCCAATTTTGTTTGGATAAGGCTTCCATTTATAACAAGCGAACGAAAAAATTATGAAAGAACAAACATAAATGTGGTTTAATAATTTTAACTTCCGTCGCGTCGATGCGCCGACCGCACTGAGTTTGGCGCAATGCGTGAAGTATTCATGCAGTCTTGTAGGGCCTATGCGTTTCTCGCCGACCGCGGCTGACCGCAATGTTTGACTCAATGCGTGAAGTATTCATCCAGTCTTGTAGGCGCATGCCGACCGCCGCGCCGAGGGCTTCTCCTTTTCATCTCAGTCCTCGTCATCATTGCCTTCTGCGCCGTTCCGCTCAAGGTCAAATTGCGTGTTTGGTTTCTCTCTTAACTCGACTAATTAAAGGTGTTGTCTCTTGTATCACCAAAAGACGACAAAATTAGAAATTACTTTACTTTTGCTCTCAGGAAATGAGAGATTTTATCGCCTATTCTCGTTTGTAATTTATTTTCTGGATCCGATTTCTCCCTCTTTTTTTGATAGCTAGGTACATTAAAAAAGATTGCAAAATTTGCCGCCCCCTACATTTTGCCGCCATAGGCCGCGGCCCATGTGGCCACCCCCTTAATCCGGCCCTGATCCGAAGTGTCCATAACACCATTCAAGAGTTGTCGCGCAGATTTAACACCCATGCAGGATGTTCCTTCAGTAAATTTTTTTCCGTGAAGTTTTTGGTTCAAGCAATCAATGATTTTGACCAGATAACTATAATGTCCTAGAAAGAAAATACAAGTCTTATAAGTTTCGATCCAAATTTTCCTTTCTTATGTATCATATGATAGCAAATCAAACCCCCTACAACTGTTAGTGTTTACGATGCAATGAAGTACCCACATCTTATAATAAAAACAAATAAATATTCTGTCAATCCAAATTTATCGAAAAATTGAAGTGTCTTAGGTCCCAATCCTCACCAATAAATGTGCCCAAAAGTGAACATGCTCTTGGACCAGTCAACCCCAAAACATTTGACTGTAAGTTGCATGCCAATTATATCGAGCCGAAGTCTGCCACCGCTTATGACCTCTCTAAATTGAGTTCAGATTGTTTGATTGAATCACCACAGACTGTTCGGCATATGAAGTGACACGAATAATTTTACAATTAGGCTGGACCGAAAGCTACTTGAGACTCAAGCCAGGTTCATGCAATCACATTTGCTGGTTTACACACTAGAGATCTATTTCCGTGATAGCAGTGCAATCGATTGGCTTATTTCGTATGACTGTTCTTCGAGATAGAATCAGTTGCACATCTGTAGACAAGACTGATCTCATTCCTAAACGAAGCTTCATATTTCAAACGATGTCCATTAGCGGAACTGGGAACTTTTCGTAGGGGGTGGGGGCAATCTCATGAAAGAGGGGGAGGGTCTAGGAAGGCACGAGACACTCAACAAAGGGGGTTTGTGCCTGCATCTGCGGGATATTCTCCTTGCTCTAGCCTCTTTTTTTAAAGCATTTTGTTACTCTTTGAAGATAAGTAAATTTGTCGTTACTTACATGTTTGGTATTGCTAAAGAAGCACTTCAGTAAATTTGTTTAAGCCAATCATACAATGTTAACGTGTATCATGTGAGAAAAAAGAAATTGTATATACGAAAATTGCTTTGTTCCGAGATGAAATAATAGTGGATAAATAATGGGACTAATTGCCCTAGCTCCAAAAGACTAAGAGAACATTTTAGAGCCCAGCGATGAAATAAAAATGCCTATGATTTTAAAAAATAATCCCCCTCCTTTTTTCCGATCATCCACACAACTATACAGATCAATAGCACTCGTTTTCAAACAGTTGTACTTTGTGATTTTTATTTTATTACTTTTTTATTTTATTTTTGTACATGTTTTATGACTTTGAAAAGGCACCTCTAGACTTACTATCAGCTTATCGAATGACAATTAAACTTCAAGATATGACATTTGGAAATCCGATAACCAAATTAGTCACAGAACTACGTTTTGAAGATTTAAACAAATATATCAGCAAAAAATAATAAAATCTGTCCAAACGCTTGTAAAGTTTCTACGTCCGGTAGAAAAGGAACCATTTCCTTTAGATGTACATGATGCCATTCACCGTGGTAGCACATGTCATAGTTTCTTTCACCTTGAATTCATCAATCAGTCATACACACATCGTCGTTTTTCTGACGTATATAAAGGCTTACCTCTAATTTCACTTGAGCCCTGTTGAAAAAGTCCTCAACATATCCTAGAGCCGAAAAAATCATCTGTAACGTGAAATTTATAAAGGAAACCATTCAGATCTATGATCTGAAATTATCAAAAGACGATTTTAGGACTGGCGCGACCGATCCATTTCGATAAATTCCTGTAAACCGTGTCAAAATTGTTGAGATTGTTAGGAGTAAATGAAATGCCGAGAACTGAAACTTTCCTCGTCCCTGCAAATCACGCATCTACAGAACTTATTTTTAACATGGCCAAAATTATGTAATATTAATAACATTTTCTGCTGACTCTTACAAAGTCAGCGTTTCAGTGAAGACTATCTCTTCCCCACGAATAGCTCTTTCCTCTCTTTTCATTTGAAAAAGCACTACCGACATTTCTAACGGAGTTTTTTGAACGATTGCACAAAACGCAGCTTGAACACTGAAAATTTGAAAAACTTACTATCACCTTTAAAAATGCACATGAAGAGTTGACGGTCATTTTTGTTAAAATCATTCTCATTTTAATTTTTATTTTGTTGCAGATACTTGGCGTCATATTAGCTTGCGTTGCAGCTAAATCAATCAGAGATGATAATCGCAACAAGTAAGATGTTTGATTATACTACTCTAGTCACAGAAACATGTATCAACATTATTCAACTTCTTTGAATGTGGATTCCAGTGTGAACTACAAAAGTGGAACTGATCAATTTCCATTAATATCCATCTTTCTCGCAAAATAATACGGTATAGATACAAGTGAATGTAAAACAAGTCTTTTTAATGTAGTATACGTGCTGCGCAATATATAATGTATTACTCCTATTTTTCTTTTCGTAGGCTTACAATTTTTTACTGTCTTCTACGTATAAATTTCTTAGAACTGAAAAATATTTGATAACTATGTATAAAGTAACTTTATTTCATCAGCACCTACTACGGACCATTATTATCACTAATTTTGAGGTCACAATTGTTTACTCTGAAATATATACTAGATGAGAAGAGAAATAATTATTTTGATTTAAAAAAAAAACGAAGACAAATAAGAAAACGACAAAAACAAAAGATGAAATCAAATTGATTTTTGTATATTTCACGGATTAAGTAAACTTTTTCGATGATGATTTGTACTATTTTTTAAGAAATGTAATGAACCACGGTCAAAAAATCAAATTGTAACCATTCACTGAAAAAATTGCATCGCAGTCCCATGAAACTCAAAATTGATTCTTTGTACTGTATTGATGCTTCAATAAAGATTCTTAGGAGAGGAGTATTTGATAAGTTTAAGGTTGAAAACTCAAATTCTATCTCATGTTCATGAATGCATGAAAAGCCAAGGAAGAACGCCGTAAAAACATTTTAACATTGCCAAATTTCCACCTATACGATGTTATTTATAAAAACTTTACGTAACTTTTTTTAAAATTTTTCACACAAACTGGATTAAATCAGGACGTAAACTCTCCAAAAAATTCAAAGAAAAACATCACAAGTTTCCCAGGTTTGGCAACACCAGAAGGCTAAATTCCTACGGCACACAATGGATCGAGTCCATGGAAGGAGTCGGACAAAATTTGGAAACTTTAAAAGCTTATAACTCCGTTATCAAAAGTTGTCGAATTGTCGAGGTCTTAAAAATGGTCCCACCGGGTTTTTCGTAGAATTTACTCTAAGAAGCTCCCCTCATAATTTAAAATTTGACGAAATAAACGTGGAAATTTGCAGTTTGAGTGAATAAATTATTGTCCGACCTCTCCAATTGACTCAAACCACTGTGTGGCATTTCACTTTAGCACGACGGCACACAGAATGGATCTAAATTGCAGGAATTTATGTTTTATTCAGTCGAAGGTGGTTCATCACGGCTCCGGAGGCTTGGCAAAACCGTCTTAATCACCGAGCAAACCTCATGAGGTTGCAGAGGCCCGTAATACCCGAGTACGTATCTGAATCTCATATGAGGGAGGCCCATCGACGAGGGATGCTCCTCAAAATGAGACATATCCCACAAAAGTACTTCAAATTAATTCATGATGTACAGACATACTTCAAATCAATTCATGATGTACATACAAGGTTTTGTGGCATGCTGCTTTTCATTATAGCCTGTTGATTTGAACATGGATTGTAATCTAAGCCTATGTTTCAAAGGCGATGAATGCATGTTTGAATATTCAAAAGTTATGGTACGGATTTTTTCGACTGAATTTGAACGAGGACGACGAGCTTTGAAGATCGAGTTTGCGAGAGAAAAACAGAGATTAAAATAACTCAACCCCACAAGGAACCCCTTTGACCAAGGGAGCTGTAAAGTGCCCCAAAAATTGTAAAGTATAACCAGACTTAATTGTGGTGAGCTGCGCTATCATAGAAGAGAGGTGTGCCAAAAATCAGAAGGTCCAGTTAATCGCATGACCACACCCTTTACCCTAGACCTAAAATCTCCCGCCAAAAATTGTCTCGCTTGGGGAGGTTTTTTTTTAAACTTTTGAACCCCCCGAAAAAACGGTCATAAGCGAAGGGGAGTATGGTTTCCTTTTCTTAGTTGCAAAGAAAACCGTCTTGATAGCGAAGTGGGACCAATACGCTACTGTCAGGGCAAAATAATTAATTCCTTTAATTTTTTTAATATACAACACAGTCAGCCCTTGAACAAGAATAGTTGCATCCAGGTGTTGATAATATGAACACCGAAACGCCTTCAAGTATTAGGTTATGCAAGAAAATCAGAAATTGAGCATGAATACATGACATACGTAAGCAGGCGATAGTGATACAGAATCAAAAACGCCTTCAAATTTTTGGATATGTAACACGGTCAGCCTTAAAGCACAGATAGTTGCATCAATGCGTCGGAAATAAGGAAGCCTACCATTCCTCCCTGGATACCTAACCACAGATAGTAAGCACGATTACTTGCATTCAGGTGTTAAGATCAATCTTATTTTCATCTTCTAAAATGATCTACGATGGTACGAGACTTACAATCACCTTGATGCAAGAAACCAGGTAATCTCACTGCACTTTTGCACCGTTTAAAGAAATATGAACAGCTTGCAGCAATCGTTCTCAAACAGCCAAAATTATTAAATGAAGAATTATTGAGACTATAGTGACCTTAAGACTGTGAAAACATATCTACGAATAGAGAAAAAGAAATAGGTCTGTGTATGATCGTCAACGACGGAAAATGAATAGTTTTTTCCTTTAATTTCCTCTTTTCTCGTAAGAAATTATGAAGAGAAGAATTTTTGGAATCTGACAAAATTACGAGGAAACATTCATCTTCCCTTTGAAACGCCCTCGAGTCGAAGTACTTTTCCAAAATCACTATTGCTTATGAAAAGATAATTCTTAATGATCCCTAAATATATGTTTTTCGTATGTATCTAGAGAGTTAGTTAGTTAATTACAACGAACAGTAACTGGGCTACTTAAATCGGCGACCGGGAATTCACCTGAAATTTCAAGATTTATTCGTCTAACAAACTCTCTTCTAAATATGTATACATATTTTCACGCATGCAGCTGTGCCCCTTGTTTTCATTATACAAATTGACAAAATACTTCATAATGAATGATTACTGCATGTTTAAGAGTAATGAAGACGCTTTTGTCATCTACACAGACTTTTAAAACAACCATTTCACGAATTCATAGATTATTTTTATTTTGTTACTTGAAATGTAAATAGCTAGTATTGATAATGTAAGATACTTAATTTTAAGAGCTTTGCTTTTGTTTATAACCGTAAGGAATAATAATTTCTATCTTGTTTTGAAAGATATTGTAAGCTAAAACCCTGGAAAATGCACGTAGCTGTCTGAAACCATCTTTGAACACTCTCGAACATTTCAAAATTATCGTATTGATGAAATAATGAGTAGATCTGAGGAGCTTGGAGAACAAGGCGCTCCTTGGAGAACAAAATTAGTCCTCACGCATATTCTGAGAGAAATTCGCTCAAAAATGCCTATTTTTAAGCATCAAAAAGTCAGTTTCAGCTTCTTTCCGCCAAAAGGATCCGTGTAATTTCGAAGCTTCAGGCACGCATTTCTCAAAAGAGCAAAAAACTGCACATATATGCACCTTGTGTTCCAAGTCCCTCATTTATTAGTTCCGTACGTTGATATGAGATCAGATATCAATGTTGAAGCTGGGAACGAACGATTCTCAATTGTGCTTTCTAAGGTCGTCTTACTTTGTTCGTTAACTGCAACAGTAAGCAACACCATTTTTCCTGAACATCTCCGTATAAAGAAAATTCTGAGATATGTTGTGTGTGATTCGCTTAAAAAGGACTTTTAAAAAAGACGTGAAAAATAAGCGAAATTGAGAGAAAGAAAATATAGATTGTTTATACCGAATTTTTCCGATGCATAATGACTTCAAGTCTTTTTGAGCATATTCGAAGCCTTTGAATAGTAGAATTTTTAAAACATTTGATTTGTCAGAAAATTTAAGCAAAACTTATTTTACAAGAATTCCTTCCCTGAAACAATTGACCTCGAAAACTCAATATTTTCTATTCTTAAAGCAGTCGAATTAGTTCCTTATATTACAAAACTCCAAGTAATACTTTGTATAACATACTTAGTACTAACATGATTACTTTAACACTTCTTTGAATCATAAGTTGTTATTGTTTGATTTGCGACATGAACTTCTTTGCATCGATGATGTGGGTTTCTTCTGACAGACCAATTGATAATATCGACTATTATAAACGTCTGAATGCTGAACATTGGGACATTCTCCACAGAAGACTTGGGTACCCTAGATATCCGTGAAATTGCCCAACATTGGCCAAAGGGCTTGTGAAAATTCAAGCCGTTAATATTAGAAAAATTCAACGGACTTCCAAATGAACAGTTTACCTGTGTAGGCTACCTTCAAGACATCGACCAGAGTCATTTCGTGACGATAAATCATGCATCAAAGGGATTATTTTGTGTATGTGCGTTAAAACTCACTTCCGAAAAAATAAGTGCCGACACGGAACATTTATGCTGTTAAGAAAATGGAAAACGAAATCAAGAAATTCTATCATAGCAGAAAAACGTATTCACAAGTAAACTATTGTTGCTACTATTGGAAGTTTGCTTCGCATCACAAGAATGTCACTTTCTGGACGTAACACAATTTTCCGCAACAAGAAATTGTGAAATAAACTTTAATGTTATGATAAGTCCGATTTTCCCCGGCTAACTTTCAGCTTTTTATCGCAATGTTACGATTTTGATAATGCTGGCTAGAATATTAGATCAGATATGGATATTTCTTCTCCCGACTATTATTAAGTTCCGCATGATATATTTGTTTCCTCTACGTAACATACGATTCTCTCGATTTTCCTGTATGTCCTTCCCATTAAAATGTTTGACTGACTTAATGTGGTTCAATGACACAGCAAGACCTCTAGAAATATGAAACTTTTTGAACTTCTATGAACTATCGCAAAGTTCAAATTCATTATTAATAACTACAAAACTCAGCTAACCTGTGATAAGACTGCCTAAAATTAAAATTCATACTTATAAATAGGTTGTAATTGCAATGCTGAAATTTTGATGTGTATGTAATTATGTGTGGTAATTGGCGAGGTCTTTTTTTTTGTTACCTATGAATTATTCTGACGATCCAGCTTCTTAGTTTGATAACCAAGAAAAAAAAAGAAGAAGAAACACTTTGTACACCCTATAGTATGCGTGAGAATAAGACAACTTTAAAATTATTTTAGTAGTCTTCTTTCCGCGTTTTTTTAGCAGAGCAAAGCTCTTATTTACTCTAATGTAAAGGAGGCTAAGATCAAAATAAGATAATTTAAGGTTTGACAGAAACTCTGAAAATTATATGAAAGAGCAAAAAAAGTTTTGAAAATTTTGTTAAGCCCCTTAAAATATAAGATCCTTGGATATGAAATTGTAAAAATGGCATGCTTGAAGAAATTTCAATCGTTTTTATCTTTCTTTAAAAAGTCTTGGAATCAAAATGCAACCTTGTTTCAATTGTCTTTTCTTGAACATTATATTTTAACTGATGATTACGATTGACTGTCAACCCATTCATCCATAATATTTATACATCAGTCATCATATAAGAGCAGTAAAAAATAAATGTATGCAAAAAAAAAACACACTAATCAGATGTAAATAAAAGAAAAACTAAAATCATCAAAGCCTCTTCATTGACAAACCCTTCCTTTTAACGTCAAAAATTGATAACGTGAACTGTGACGCGCATTTACGTTAAGGCAAACATACCTATGTATCTTTTGAAAGCCGTGAGAAGTTTAAATTCCTACAGAGCTTAAAGCTTAAGAAGTAAATGTAATACAGCACGCTCCGAATGATGAGCAACTTTCAAGTCCTATACTTCATTTTTTCTGTCGACATAATTTCGCAGTCATTGAGTATTACAACCCATACTGATCATATAAATTGATGGTCAAAAAGCGAAACCGCGTACCTTCATTACGGTGTTTTGAAATTTCCGCTACAGATTTTAAATCTTCAAAGAGAAACAAGCCGAATTCATGAAATCTATACAGAATATTTCGTCAACAGGGAGGAAAAATCAAGGAAGTTATCCAAAAATTTCGATGACTATCTGGGGAAAAATAAAGTATGGCAGGAAACTTGCAACGTCGCACAGTGGATTGAGTCAAACAGAAAGGTCGGACATGGCATTTTTTACTAAAACTACAAATTTTGGTGATTATTTCGTCACATTTTAAATTTCAAGGGGTGCTTTTAGAAGAAAATTTCGCGAGGAAACGAATGGAACCGCTTATAGAACACTGGGAAAAAAACACATTGTGTCTAGAGTCCAGACTCTTGAAAACATAGACAAGAAAAAATACTCTTGATTCAATCGGATTTTTGCTTGAATCAAAACGAAATCCGCTTAAATTAAGAGGCTTGGTTCTTGATTTAAGCTAGATTCTGATTGAATCAAGAGTACTTTTTCCTGTCGATGTTTTTAAGGGTCTGGACTCTGGATCCAGTGTGTTTTTTTTCCAGTGAACCTCACAGTTTTGTATCAACAACGGAGGTATAAGCGTTTAAAATTTCCGAGTTTTGTCCGACCTCTCCAATTGACTCGATTCACTGTGCGTCGCAAACGGAGACACATTTTGGTCATCAATATACTTTAATTTTTTCATCTCAAATTAGAGCATAATAATTTTTACGATCTGACAAATGAGCTCTTGAAATACATCGCTTTGAGTTGAAACCTACCCGGAGATTCCGATTTTAAGGTGTTTACAACATTGAAACCATGCCAACAGCTAATGAAGACCCTTTAGGGACAACCTGTCAAAAGTGAGTCGATTTGCAAACACACGTGATTTGAATGACGGAAAACACTCGAGTTTTCTGGAAAATACAGAAAAAGAGAGAATATAGCCTTTGACATTCGGAAAATTCAGTTTGATCCTAGACCGTGAACATCCTGTATTATCGTCGCGGTGTGGTTTTCAGAAATGAATTTTTGAAATTTTGGACGAGATTAGTTTCGCGAGGCCGTCATCACGATGACAATGCGGGAGATGCAGCGACCGCATTTGTTGGTCGAGGAGGAAAAACACATTTCGAGTAACGACCACTATGAAAACTGCAACCTCGTTCTGGCCCAAAAATTCCTGTTCCTCTTTGACGTGCTCACTGCGGTAAGTGCTCCCTTTATTTCTCAAGATCATCTTTAAATTTTTTCATCACTCTCCATTGGCGGATTCAGTAAAATTGGCAATCCTGTCTTTTCTCCATTTAAACCTATGGAAATGTATCGATTCTTTTAAGGGGCCTGCAGGTGCTTCGAAAAGAATCGATTGTTTAGCATAGGTTTAAATGGAGGAAATCCGGTGTTGCCAAATTGCTGGATCCGCCTCTGTCACTCTTATCAGTCTTCACCAGGCGCCGACCGTCTATTACTTGGGGGATGATACCACTATTCGACCACGAGGGAACTTATGTTGCCTACACTAAAATTGAAGGTAACCTGACATGACGTTAGTATCTTCCTGTTTGGTATGAAACTCTGATTTGTACGTGCCCCCAGTGAGCGCACCATTTCATGATGATACCACTACTCGACCACGTTGGAGATTGTGTTGCCTGGACTAAAAATTTCCTTTTGTTAAACATTGAAGGCGAATTGATATGGCGTTTAAGTAACCTCTTCCCGTTTGGTAAAAAACTATTTTGTGGGTGTGCTCATAATAAACGTGTTACTCTAAGACGCCACAACTATTCGATCACGTAGCAGCTTGTATTGCATTTACTGAAAATGAAGGCGAGCTGACATGGTGTTAATGTAATCCCTCCTCGTCTGATAAAAAACCACTTTTGGATGTGTTTCTGATAAAGCTTGCGCAATATCACGAAGATACCAATATTCCGCTTTTGTCTAAAGTCTTCTTTTGATGTTCCTCTCTCTTACTCTTTCTCTCATGTATATTCTTCTACTTATTCCTTCCCATTGCTGCATTCTTTCGTCTTCTTTTTTCCCCTTTTGTCTTCAATATTTTCCCCGTCATTCTTTCTCCTTTTTATTTGCTCTCTTCTCCATCTTCATCTACTTCTTTTCTCTCTTTTCTGCTTCTACTCTCTCTTTTCTGCTTCTATCTCTTATCCTCTGGTTCCCCTCTTCTCATCTGCATCCTCTTTCCTTATTCTTCTTTTTCTTCTGCCTCTTATTTTCTCCCCCGTTTCCTGCGTCCTCTCTCTCTCCTCTTTCTCCCCCCCCTTCTTCTTCCTCTTTTCTGCATCATCTTCTTTTATTTGGTTATAGGACATTTAGTCAACGATTTTTTGTCCGCACACCTGTTTTTTCCAGTAATTTACGTCCACGCGTTTTTTCGGCACGGGATTTTTGATCCACGTGCCAGTTGAGACTCAAAGTTAATTGGCCCACATGTAAATACAAACGACAATTGCTCACGACGTTTTTGGATGAAAATGTATAATGTCTCGGAAGAATGAGGGTTTGCTTGTTTTTTTGTTTTGTCTGTTTGGTCCAATGGAGAATAATATATAATTGAGAGTTTTGGTAAAAATGGGGGAGAGTCAATCCCATGAGACAAAATTCACTAAAACTCTCTACACCTCTTTGGTGTAACAGGACTTAATTATCTTTGAAGAAATTCCCACCTTGTTACACCGGAACCATATAAGCCTTTATATTTGCCTCAGCTGAAGGCTTTTAGATTTTTCCTGTGTACGATAAGCATCTGGATTTATTTTGCGAGGAAAGATCTGTAAATTCCTGTCATTCTTAATACGTTCAATTTCGTATAATACTGTGCAGCACCTCTGCTATGGAATAGTTGCTTCAGGCGCCGCGCGCCGCCGCACGGCGGACGGGCGGCCAGCGCGAGACGCGCATTGGCGCCTGCAAACCTAAGTGGATACTTCAAGCATTGTGCAATGCGTGTAGTATCCACTTAGGTTTGTAGGCGCCAGTGAGCCTCTCGCGCTGGCCGCACGCCGCTTTGCTCTGTTAGGCTTTAATATTTATACTCGCATGGTCAGCGTTTTTTAACTCATGATTTTGAAATGTTTGCACACTCTGCATTTATCACTCTCATTTTAAATTGATGGGGAGAAAATATGTATCAATTTATCAAAGGAGAATAATAATATAATGTGTGTTTTTTTAAATATTGGTGGTTCCGTGTCAAGTTTAATGATTTCCAAAGCCCTTTAATTTTTTCTTTTACATTTTGTGCTTCTATTGTGCTGTAGCGAGGTGTACGCGCAACCAACCGCTCAAAATTTGACGCATTTGACTCTAAAAGATCGATGTACAAATGGGTTGAAACTAAAGATTTGCGTTCTTCTTGGTTTTTTCCCTCTTTTATTCATTTTTGCAGTTTCTGTCGGCACAACTGCGGCTCATTGAGATTACTGTCGCTTGGAAAAGGTTTTACAAATATGCGTCACGTTTTAAAAACATAAATGTTTTCAAAATGAAGTAAAAATTTCGTAAAGAAAAAATTAAAAAAATAAAAAAAGTACCTATACATGTATGAGGTATATTGTACATCGAATATTTTAAGGATAGAAATAAAACCAAATATTCACCGATGAAAATTTAAGAAGATGATTCAAAAGGAGAAAGTAATAACATTTCATTTTAAAAATGAGCAACCATAACAACGCCTATTTCTCTCTCAATTTCTCATTTCCATATTGTCAATATAATTTCACATACGAACTTAAATATAACGCTTGGACCAAGTCACTGCTGCTTATTTTACGTGTGGGCGTAAACTACTGGACAGAAAAGGTGCGCGGACAAAAAATCGTTGACAAAATATCCTGAAACCCTTCTATTCCATTATCATTGCTTCTTCTTCTATACTTTTCCTTCTTCCTTCTCTACTCTTTATCTCTGTCTTTTCTTCTTCTTTCCTTTCTTTTCTTCTTATCTACAGTTCAATGGACCACTAGACAAGGTACAAATTGCAGCATTCTGATCCATGTTTCGTAACTAAAATGTCACGTAGAACACGATGCGAATGACAAAAATTACCGCAATGAACTCCTTACGAAGATGAATAATGATTCTTGATTCGTGATTTCAAACCACCCGCTCACGAAAACTCAATGCTCTACGTGATTCACATCCCGCTCTAAACGTTATCATGACAGTCTCTGTGATATAAAAATCCGGCAACCTCAATCTTGACGCTTTGGCTCAGCTATAGAAAATTGCTAATAGTTTGAACAACACATGGTGGGAAATGAACATTGCTCGATTGAGAAGCTTGCTGAAACCGTTGTAGTGCGCGATTTGACTCACGTAGAGCTTTGAGTTTCTTGTGAGCGGGCAGTTCAAATTCCCCGTAACCAATATGAAATAAAAACTTTAATACGAGGTCTGTTAGATTAGAAACCGGATTTTGGTGATAACTAACCCAATGTGCGTCCGAATTAGGTTTTCTTGAGCTTCCCTGATAGCTGGTAATATACTTAAGAACGCTACGTTCACACATTTGAAAAATCTTCATTAGCTTTGTTGGTATGTGGGTTGAAGTAAGGCAACCTCATGGGTGTTTTGCGATTTTTATGTTTGACCGAACTTGTCCCCCTTTTTTCGGTCTTGCACTACATTTTTCAACCCACAAGGATGATTGGAGTTTCGTCTTCATATCGTAGCCGTACACTCAAGTGTTTTCACCGAAAATCATCCTATCCAAAAATGTAGTATCATTGTTAGAACGTTCACGCAGCTAAAGGGAAATTGACATTTGGTTGGATTTTTGTTCAACGGACAACAATCAAGGGGCAAGTGTACCTGCAACTTGATGCATGTCTACATATTCTATCAAAATTGTATGTACAGAGCCCTCAGAAATATTACACTGTTCAGCGAGCTCGAAACGACCATTTTCGAGCACTTTTGCCCGCACTTCTTCCACGTGTCAAAAGCCAGTTGCCGTTGATGATCGATTCCCAAGCTCCTCATCTTCGACGAACTCCTGACCAGTTTTGAATCGTTTAAACCACTTAAAACAGTGGAAAAAACTCATACAATGATCTTGGTAAACTCTACTTAGCATACCAAAAGTTTCGGTGCAAGGCATATCGAGTTTAAAACAAAAGTTAATGTTGAATCTTTGCTCTATCAGTGATCGCATGATGAAAATCGCAAAACGCACCTGACTTACTCGTATTCAAGATGACACAGAATAAACACTGATCAAATTAAATAAAATATGTAAACGTAGCGTTCTTAAGTATGTTACCAGCTATTAGGAAAGCTCAAGAAAACCTAATTCGGACGAACACTGGGCTAGTTATCACCAAAATCCGGTTTCTAATCTAACAGACCTCGTATCTTCGTTGGGAGTTGGTTTCAGTAATTTTCGTTGTGTAAATCGTGTTTTACGTGAAATTTTAGTCAAGAAACATGTATCAGATCGCTTAAATTCGTACCTTGTCTAGTGGTCCATTGTATACATAATTCCCTTCCTTTGATGTTTCAATGTTGTTTCGGTGACGTTCTTAGCTGGCAGCTATACGGCTCATATTTGTGGGTTATGCCGCGTTGGAAAACTATTACATATTCGACGTTTTCTTGGGGATCAAGATGGCCATTCTCCCCGTGATCTACATGTTCGATGGATTTTGCGCTTTTCTTCTCACTTTTCTGGGATGCGTCGGGTCTTACACCCAAGATCCGCGCACGCTAGTTTCGGTAAGCAAAGTATTTTTGGTACCATGGTCAAAAATAAGAAATAAAATAAAATATTTGTAATTCAAAAAATTCATGTACAAATCTATAAAATGCGCCACAACAACGAAGAAAAGTTAGTTCGGAGCAGTGAGATAATAGAAGATCGATGAAGCTCATAATATCTATAATTAAATGATTGATTTGAAGTCAGATTTTTATGGCTGGAGCTAAGTCTTCAAACGCTTTAAAAAAAGTAAATAAGGAAAAAGATTTCGGACTTAATTTTTCATCACAAATCATCTCTTCGAGGTCAACAACGAGGTCAATCAAGGATGAAATAGTCAATTACAAAAACTAAAATTTCCTGAAATAATGAGGAATTGGAATCCCCCGAAAAATTTAAAGGCCCTTCAATATACATTTAGCACTATATGTATGTGTTCTTATTATATAACTTCAGGGGTAATAATATGGTGCGTTTCTCTGAAAGTTTACTTCTTTTTAAAACACATGGCAAAACTTTAGTTAAAGGTAACTAGAGTTCTAGTGGCATTCACGATGCTTTTGATCGGTTTCTAACAGGTGTATCGTTAATCCTGAATCAATAATCTGACCATTCCCACTAATGTACCTGTTTTCCTATCTTGTTCCCTATCTTTTTTGTACTTTAGATGTCTAAACAGTGCGCATATCAAGATTTGCAAACCTCATCTAGGCCTCATGTAGGTTCTTAAAAACTTTTTTCAAAATCATGGCTGTGTCAAAAATCAAGTACAATCTCGAAAGGAACATACCGCAATCTTCTTTTTCTCTGCGTGCAGCACCACCAATAATGCTCCGTCTGAGCATTATAAAATTATAGTGGAGGTGATCCCTTCGGTTTCGATTTTTCGAGGAATAGAAAGTGAGTGTTCACCGCTACGAATGATCATTGACAATTTGGTTACCCGGCAAAAGCTTTTGAGTTTTGTTTCCAGTATTCACTAGGGATTCTTGCCTGCATTCTGCTGCAAATCATCGGAGGGTTCTATTCGCTATACCATCGGTTCTTCTTCAAAAATACTATGCGGGCGGCCCTGAAGGCATCTTTGCTCGAGTACAACAGCACCATTCAGAACCAACTTTACACCGTGTGGCACGATATGCAAAGAAAGGTAAACGAAATCCTCGACTCTGTTTTGCCGAGCTTGGCTTGAACGTAAATATCCAAAACAGGATCATAATTCAAGTTAATTAAGTTTATCATTCAACTGACGTAGTTTCAAGAAAAAATCATTTGATCATCTCATTTACTATGGCTAGAGTAGGTACGATTCAAGATTTTGCTGCAAGTTCACTCCCTCTATTTGGAAAGAAAAGTAGCTTTCGCAGCTAATTCTTTTGGACATTAGCAAGAATTTTCGGTTGAAATCTCGAATCATCTTTTTCCTCCCAACTCAACAAAAATCGCATCACGTAGTAAAAATATACCTTATTCCTATCAAAATGCGTCGTACACTGTTAAAAATCGAGGAGTGAAATTCGGTATCGGAGATTATACGGAGCTGCGCCCGAAAACCCCGAGTGTTATGAATAGGAAGTGGAATTAGCAGCATAAAGGCGTATGACACTCCCCCAAAAAGAGTGGATGCCGCTCCGTAGTAGGGTAAGTGCGTCATTCCGTAAGGAGAATAAATTCCGCTCCGCATTTATATCACTCGGGGTTTTAATACGCTACATAGACCCCGGTACCTACAGAATTTCATTCCAGAACTTTCAACATTGTGATTTTTCATCGGCAACGCAAAAGTCAGGCCTTAAAATAATTTTCAGCTAATCCAGCGGGCTGATAATAAAAATTGATGGACGAAGCTATAGACAGAGAAAAAATAGAGCAAATGAAGCGATCCTATTGGTAGAAATGGGTGGTTGTAATACACAAAGAAGGTAGAAGAATTAGACTAACTAACGGTAACCGACAAGAGACCTTACGATACATCATCCCCCCCCCCTTAGTCTATAACAACCACCAGTTTCAACCGATAAGATCGCTCCACACTCCCTGTGATTTCTTTGTCTATAGCTTTGTCTCTCAATTTCACTTATCAGCCCGCTGGAATGTCAACCGCTGAGACATATTTTTTGCGGTAAATTTGACCAGCTTATTGTTTTCAAAATTTTAAAAAAACGGGTCAAGGCCGCGGAAAATTTCCCATCAACGCCGAGCGCGATGCAACTTTTCCTGTTCCCCAGTTCGAGTGTTGCGGAGTGGACAGCCCTCGAGATTGGATGCCGTACTTCAGCCTGTCGTACGTCCCGGTGCCGCTCTCGTGCTGCGCCCACTACGAGGAAAAACTCCGCCGAGGTGAGAAATGCTACGCCCGCCTCAACGAGAGCAGCTACCAACTCGGCTGCTACACCCAACTCCAGACCGTCGTCGCCGATCACTTCAACTGGATGCTCCTGTCAGGGGTAGCACCCACGCTTACTGAGGTTAGTTCCCCTAGAGTACCTGTATACGGGAGAGTATGGAGATGTTGCATGTGTGAGGAATTTGCGATTTGACTGTTGATTCTTATGTAAAAGTTTGCGAGAAACACGATGGTGCCACTGGCACTCTCTGAAATCAACTCCCAAGCTCAAAAAAAGCTCTCAAAGTGAGGCCAAAATGGAGGGGATATCCCACGCTATCCTGAGAGTCCAACTCTACATCAAGACAAACTCTCCATGCAAAGATAGGGTGCAAATACATTAGCAGGGTTGCCGTGTATTCAGTCTTAAAGTCCTCAAATAAAGTGGCAGCCCTGTCAATGCATTTGCTCCCTATCTTTGCATGGAGAGTTTGTCTTGATGTAGAGGTGGACTCTCAGGGTAGGGCGGGATATCCCCTCCATTTTGGCCTCACTTTGAGAGCTTTTTTTGAGCTTGGGAGTTGGTTTCAAAGAAAACCAGTGGCACCATCGTGTTTCTCGCAAACTTTAACATAAGAATCAATAGTCAAATCGCAAATTCCTCACACATGCGACATCTCCATTGCCATCCCTGTGCCGTTCTCTGATTGGTTCATCAGTTTTAGGTTATCATGGAGCGCCAAAGTTGGCCGAATGTAAACAAACCCGACCCAGAGGAATACGTATACGGCTGAGAAATGAACGATAATCACACTGAAAGACTAATTTTCGGCAAAAATATCCATTAAAGGTCGATCCGAACTCCGACTCAGTAGTCGATCATAAAAAAATTTCCATCACATCCAAAATCACGCCTAGATCTTTGTAGAACTTTGTCGCCATTTTGTTTGTTCACATTGGGCCAACTCTGGGGCTCCATGATAGCCGACCAATCAGAGAGCAGCACACTTTTTCTGTAGTAAAAGGATTGGCATGGCAATACTCTCCTGTGTACAGGACTCTAAGCGAAATAGGATTCTATGCGATACGCAACTGCTTCATACAAATATAAGCTGCGCCTTCAATCGTCAAGAATGCAGTCCGTGACCTCGAGCGAATTCGTCAGAAATCGATTAGTCATTTTTTTCTCCTCTTTTTAGGGCGTTTATGGTTCGGAAAATTAAGAGAAACAATGTCATGGGTGGATAAGATTTCCGTGATAAAACGGTTCACTTCATTTGCTAGGCGCGTCGTGATCCGATCTGTGAAAAGTAACAGTAGACTCCGCACCAAGATCAAACCACAGAGGTCAGCCGAACGTCGCGCGTCGCGTCGTTGACCTCCGTCCAGTGCACGGAGTAATTAAGTGGCCATTACCATCAGAAGAAATCCGATGCGCTCAAATTAGTTTTATATTTTTGCAAAAACGTTGTAATGGGGTCCTACACAAGGTGCGAATGAAACAGTACGCGAGATGTTTCCTCCTCAAAATTTCACGACAAAAACGAATCACGCGACAGGAAGTCTGAAAATCAACTCCTAAACAAGATGTAAGTGTTTACAATTAAAATTGGTTAAAAATACAAATGACGGCATTTGTATAATCTAACTTCCATTTGACCTGTGTTAAAAATATCTGCTAATATCTCGTTCACCTACCTCATACCTACTGAACGGTTATAGTCTCTGCCTTAGGAGTCGTTTTGCGTGCCTCTATACACATAGACGAGAGTCATTTCATCCGTGGGTTTTTAAATCTCCATATTTGAATTTCCAAAAATGAAAATTGCAAACGGATGCCTGAAATTAAAATACTGTTCCAAAGTAGAGACCCCTCATTGATTAAAGAGTCCTCATGTGTGAGAGCGCAAAAAAATTATTTGCTGATACATATTTTAATACCACAGGCTCCTCATTTGCAGTGGTGAATCTTGCAAGTTGGCAACACTGTTTTTTCTTTATTTAAATGTATGTCGAACAATCGATTTTAGGTGAGACCGTGAGGCAGCCTGTCTTATCAATAATCGATATATTCAATGAATTTAACTGGAATGTTGACGGTGTTGCCAACTTTTGGAATCGCCACTGCTTATTTTCCTTTCTGATAGCTCTGCATCATTACACATTTCAGATGACCGGACTGATGCTAACTCTCATCGTGGCTAAGGCAATCAAAACGGATATGATGTTGAAGAAAACAAGACCATGGGCCCGCTAACCGCGCTCATTTCGGAAGCTTGAACCCCTCGCACTTTTTTGTTGTAGGCCTTCCTGTGCATTTAATTTATTCAAACGTTGCTCAAAATAAAAATGGTTCTTAAATGGTTAAAGTTTGTTCCGCCACTAGTTACATTTTAATTACAAGGGATTATCCTTGTATTGCTGTTGTATATCTTGAGTTTTAAAGGCCCAACATGGGAAGTTTCATTGATTGACACATTTCTCAACAATTTCACTGATTATTGAGTGTAATAAAATGGCACTTATTATCATAGCCTTTTATCCTGACTTACCTCAATCCTCACCAGAAACAGCCATGATTAGCTATGGTTATAGGACATTTCGTCAACGATTTTTTGTCCACGCACCTGTTCTTACTAGTGGTTTAAGTCCACGCGTTTTTTCGGGGCTACTATTTCGCCATGTAGGTGTTGCACAGTATCATACGAGATTGCAGGCACCCCAAAGTATCATGATTGATGGCATCTTTTGAAAGCAAGAAGTTCCCTCGCAAATAATTAAATGGAGTGACGAAGACAAAAAGTGAGCGGTAGTAGAAGAACTTACTAAGTCCTAGTAACTGTATTCAATAACGTTTAGCATGATTTTTGAACTTCATCAGGGGGAAAAAAAAAAAACTTGATCAATCAGAAATATGCTCCAATTTACCGCCGAGAAGATTCCTTAATGAATCAATTAAGAAGGTAATGCTTGTTTAAAGGAATAATGCTTGTATAAAAAGAAAAGCCACTAACTTCAAGCAAAAACCCGCTTTCATTCAGCTATTTTATTATTGATTCAAAATAAAACTTCTTACGGCATACTCAAGAATGTTTCTGCCTATATTGTGTGAATTTTTTCTCTAATGAAATTAAAAAATTATGCTAAACTTATTAAATACGGGTGCTAGGACTTAGTGAGTTTTTGGACTACTGCTCTCTTTTTGTGCCGTAGTATCTTGATTTATTTTGCGAGGAAAACTCGGCACTCTTAAAAGATATCTGTCATTTTTTATACATTGGAGAGCTTTCAATTCCGTATGATAGTGTGAAACACCTCTGTTGCGATCTGATTGCTTGAAGCGCCGCTCGACGGGCGAAGGTGACTAGCGCGACACGCGCACTGGCCCCTACAAACCTAACAGCTGGAGAGCTTTCAATTCCGTATGATAGTGTGAAACACCTCAGTTGCGATCTGATTGCTTGAAGCGCAGCTCGACGGGCGAAGGTGACTAGCGCGACACGCGCACTGGCCCCTACAAACCTAACAGGGATACTTCACGCATTGCGCAATGCGTGAAGTATCCCTGTTAGGTTTGTAGGCGCTAGTGCGCGTGTCACGCTGGCAGCACGCCGCCGCGCGCTGCTCCGCTCTGTGTTTGGCTCTAACATTTGGATTGCATTTTGCAAAAAGGAACCACTAGCATTGCAATGTTGCTAAGATTGTGCAACTTCTTTTGTCTTGGAGGAAAAACCCGATTATCCATTAGTAGTTTCTATTTTACTCGCTAAAAACTGTAAATTTAAGACAAAAATTACCATCTAAGTTTCATAGTTTTTCACGATTTCCGCAATTTTATTTGCAAAAGATGAAGTTGCACAATCTTAGCACCATTGCAATGCTAGTGGTTCCTTTTTGCAAAATGCAATCCATTTAAACCCGCGGAGCCAGCATTTTCCAACTAATAATTTTGAAATGTTTGCACACTCTGTATGGATTATTCTCATTTAAATTGATGGGGGAAACAATTTTTTTAAATTAAATATGATATTTGTTTTGTGAATGTTAAGGTGGCTCCGTGTCAAAATTATTTTTGTGGAAAGTGCATTATGTGCACAAAAGTGCATTACGTAATTTATGGTTATGGTTTTTTTATGGTTCATTTTCCGGAAAAGGGAAGAAAAATCAGAAAATTGATATTTTGGTCTACTGCATTGAGTGGGTTTAGTGTGGGAGACGAGCCGGGATGAGGGTGAATTGGCCGACTGGGGCTAATCGGTTGCGGGGAGGGCGAGGGGGGCGGCGGGGCCGCGAATCCGCGTCCATCGCGCCTCTGCGACTCAGTCAGTTGACAAGCAGTACAAGTGCGTGTAGTGTTGTTAGCGTGCCGCTTAGCCGAGCCCGGAACCACGGATCAGCAGTTAGCCCGCTGCGCCGACTTCTCAATTCGCTGCCTGAATCCACTATGAAATGAGTAGTTGTCTGTCATGCCTCTTCAAATACGTCGTCTTCTTTTTCAATTATATCCTCCTGGTGAGCAAGCATTTATTTCTCACTTTGTGTTCCCGTCACTAGACTCGGATTTCCAATAAAGCTACCTGGGTTATAGCCTGAGGGCGGAAAATTATTAAGGATTCCATGATTTTTTCTATTTTTTAGGTTTTTTCTTACTTTTCAAAAACTAACTTTTTTAGCGTATTGTTCGAAACTAGGCACCTCAAAATTATTTTAAATCTGTTAAAAAAAAAAGAAAGAAAAAAAAAGGTAAATCTAAACTCTTTTTTCAATACCTAATATCCTCCCTTTGGGAGACTGAGAAGTTTTTGAGGAGTCATCGTCACCAAAAATTTCAATCTGATACCCGCGTAATGTTTAATAAGTAAATTTAAAAATTTAATTAATTAAAATTTTATTTGCGATATGTTCATGATCAAGCAAATACAGGAACTTGAATAGGTAAATATAGCTTGCTTCGAAAAATTCGTGGTTAAATCTAACTTGGCGCAAGGCATGATTCGTGGACAACACAAGACGCGATTCCTCAATTAGGTAACTACATATAGTGCTGCCCGGAGGATGTTCTATAGCCTACCTTAAAAATTGAAGGCGAAGTTGCGTTATACATGAACTGTTAGCACCATTTCGCTCAATTCTGCGTCCTCTAAATTTTCCAACAAAAAACTTTTTTTAATTTTTTTTTTAAAACTGCAAATCCCACCATTTTTTGATAAGCCTACGGAGAAGTCGAGGGTTGCAGTGCTATTACATAACTGCCTAGAATACTGTATATGTTTACTTCCAAACATTTTTAATTCTACTCCATTCAAAACTGATCGCTTTATGATTTGGTTGGTATGGTGCCTCAGTCATCAGTCAGTTATGGGTGAAATCTTCAAACATTGGGAAGAATTAGAAAAAAGCCAAATTATACATCAAAAAGCTTGCAAGTGCTCTGGCATACAGTTAGTTCGTTAATATCGTCACAAGCTATTCTGCCGTTCTAAGGAAGAACGCCGTATTTGAACCTTCAGGCGTTGCCAAATTTGCTTCGATTGAATTCGAATTCATTGGGAAAGTTGCTAATATTTTTCTTCTAATTTCTCAGACAATTTTGTCCGCAATTTCATCTAAATCATCTGACATTTTTAAGTAAAATATGCTTAACTTTCCTCAAAAATACGTGTTTTATCCGGGGAAATTTGACAACTCTCGAATGTTCATACGGCGTTCTTCCTTAGCATGGCGCAGTATTAACGTCTTTACAGAGAATTTTGAAAATGGGTGTAAATACGAAAATTTGCCGTGAAGCTTACTTATCTATTGAAAAGAAGCTCGCGCGTGAAGACTGCCCAGGAAAAACCCCGTAAATATTAGAGGCTGAATGACTCAATGCTCTCTGGTCTCTAACAGTTTTCCATTTTCTCGCCTGGCTGAGAAAACTGTGACTCATTTGAATTTACCACTCGATCGACTTGCACACGCAAGATGGGATAGAATCACCGTTGAGACGCAGAAGAAGCGCTCCGCTGACGTAAGGACGTAACTCAATTTCCACGTGAGCCCTGTTTTACATACAAATACATACTTTCTGGAGCTCATGCGGAACTCGAGATACGCCCACACGCCAGAGGAGAGGCGTCATGTCACGGCCTTCAAAGATTAGCCCCTTCTTCCGGGTCCGAGATCTTTGAATCAAGCTCCATTGTTTCGCCTAAATCTTAATTAGCGTGCAGGAATGAACAAAAAACATTAGAGTCCGTGGAAAACAAAATACATTGCACACGAAATACTTGAACGGCAAGTTACAACGGAAGAGGTAAAACAACTTCCAAAGGGAAATACATACTTAACCCTTTATTGCATAGCGTTGCATGAAAGCAACAAATGTTTTTCAGCTTTATTTCTATGCTGGAGTATTAAATTGAATCAAAGCAAGAAATCATTTTTGGGGAACATTATACGAGGTCTGTTAGATTAGAAACCGGATTTTGGTCATAACTAGCCCACAATGCGTCCAAATTACGTTTTCTTGAGCTTTTCTGATAGCTGAAAATATATTTAAGAACGCTACGTTCACAAATATGAAAAATCCAAATCAGCTTCGTTGGTATGCGGCTTGAAGTAAGGCAACCTCAAGGGTGTTTTGCGATTTTTATGTTTGACCGAACTTGTCTCTCTTTTTTCGGTCTTGCACTACATTTTTCAACCCACAAGGACGATTGGAGTTTCGTCTCCATATCGTAGCCGTACACTAAAGGATTGTCACCGAAAATTATCCTATCCAAAAATGTAGGATCATCGTTAGAACGTTCAAACAGCTAAAGGGAAATTGACATTTGGTTGGATTTTCGTTCAACGGACAACAATCAAGGGGCAAATGTACCTGAAACTCGATGCGTGTCTACATATTCTATCAAAATTGTATGTACAGAACCTTCAGAAATAAGACTCTGTTTAACAAGCTCGAAACGACCATTTCCGAGCTTTTTTGCCCGAACCTCTTTCACGTGACAAATGTCAGTTGCCGTTGAGGGTCGATTCCCATGCTCCTCATCTTTGACGAACTCCTGACCAGTTTTGAATCGTTTAACCCATTCAAAACAGTGGAAACATCTCATACAATGATCATAGTAAACTTTACTTAGCATATACCAAAAGTTTCGGTATAAGGTGTACCGAGTTTAAAGCATAATTTAATGTTGAATCTTCGCTCTATCAGTGATCGTATGATGAAAATCACAAAACGCACCTGACTTACTCGTATTTAAGATGACACAGAATAAACACTAATCAGAATAAACAAAATCTGTGAACGTAGCATTCTTAAGTATATTTCCAGCTATCAGAAAAGCTCAAGAAAACCTAATTCGGACGCATTGTGGGCTAGTTATGACCAAAATCCGGTTTCTAATCTAACAGACCTCGTATGTCCGATCTCCTTGCTTAGAAACAACCATGAAAATCGATTCCAACCGACTACAGTGTCAAAAAAATACTGTACAATGTAGATTTTCTCTCCAAAATCAACGATTAGCTCATGCAACAAAGGGTGAATGGACGGTGCAATTTCCTAGACTTATAATCCCACGTTTTTTAATCTTCTTGAAATATGATTCCCGCAATCTGTTCTCGGAGCTCCAAGGTTTTCAGGAAAATAATTTTTTGCGATTTTTTAACTTCATCCGGGGATGTAAGTCAATTACTGATAAATGTTCTCCCAAATTTAGTGATAAACTCTCCTTACTAAGTAGGTATAATACGCACCAAGTTGCGTAAAGTCTCCAGTCTTGGGAAGAAGTAAGTAATTTTTTTTAAATTTTTTTATCAAAGAGGATTAAAGTTGAAAAAATTTCAACTGATTTTGCAATGTTCAGAAAGAATTTAAAGTGATATTGCGGATCTAAACGTTAAATTTTGGAATCGATTCTTTTGCTAAGTTTACTTCAAAACAAATTTCACATTAAATCGCCCATAACAATTTCGTATCTCCTGCATTCCTTGAAAGCGTACTAATTCAATCAGTCTATTGTTGATAAAAAAAAAAAAAAAATTTGTCGATACTCTCAAGAAAATCAATTCTTAGTCAAAAAGAGCATCATCTCTGTTAAATGTTCGATACTCTCATGATATTTCGAAAACCACGTTATAATGTGGCGTGGCAAATTTTTCTCAATATTATTTAAAAGGAAAACACTGGTCAATATTTATCGAAATTTGCCCTGATTTTCCTCACCTGTTACGATTATTCTGTAAAAGATAACAAAAATATTAGTTAGAAAGATTTGAATAAAGCAAAATATGAAGATAGATTTTAAAACGCTGTTCTTCAGTTACATAAGTTCAGTATGTAGTCGCAGATTTACATAATATCAAAGTCCAAAACGATCGGGTTTTACGGATGATAGAGATTAAGGATTCTTGAGAGGATGCGAGGGTAAGTGTGTGGAAAATCGTTGGGAAATAGGGCAACAGCACATTACTCTGGGGCAATGGCTCTGATGTCTTCAACCCCGTGTCACACTTAAAGCTTCCGCGAACTCCCTGTTGCCACGCCTCCTAGAGGTAAGATTTTTTTCGGATTCTTAGTGAATAGTCTCGTACACTACCGTGCTATACAGAAAAATATCGCTTGAACTTACGAAACATTGTCAAATTCCGTCCAGTGAGAAATGAAATTCCTGAATAACTATGGATAATTTCCATTGAATTTTTTAATGAATTATTTTCTCAAATTTCAATTTTCAATCACCGCAGTATTAAAAATAAGCAAAATTCAATTCAGGACGCGGCCAGGGGAGGGGGGGGGGTGCAGGCCCAGAATAGTTGTCACCGTATAAAGCCTAGTGGCAGTGCTCCCATTTCCCGGAACTAGTACCGAATTTCGGAACTTATGGAGTGTTTTTGTATCTTTTCCGGAACTTTTAAAATTCCAGAAACGTTCCGGATCTTTTGTATTGTCCGGAAATTTTGAAAAAATCTAAAAGGAATCCCAGAAATATTGACGGTCACGGAGTGGGAGAAATTGGAACAAAAATGTTTCAAATCCTGGAACTTTTGACGGACATGGAATGGGAGTACTACCTAGTATTGCCGTGCTAAGGAAAAACGCCGTATGAACATTCTAGAGTTGCAAAATTTGCTTCAATTTAATGTTTGTTTTTGAAGAAAGTTATGAATATTTTTCATTGAAATTTTCAGGAACTTTAGGTCAAATTGCGAACAAAATTATCTGAAAAATTGGAAGGAAAATATTCATAAGTTTACCAGGAAATTCATTTTTTATCAAAGAAAATTTGGCCAGAGGGTTCATACGGCTTTTTACCTTAGAACGGCAGAGTAAGCACCCTTGGAGGATAAATGAGCCATTGTCCCCACCCCAAAAAAATTTCTAGCCACGATTGCGTTTATTATTTTTTGAAATTATCAAATTAACCACATTTTGAGCCATCGATCCCTTGAAAATTAAACCAAATTGGGGGGGGGGCGTATACTTAATTTATTGAACAAATCACCGGAACGAAATTATCACCATG